AACTTGACCTGCGTATTATGAATATTCATCAGTTCTGTAAGTTTCAAGCCAAAGGGTAAAACGGTATTTCACTTATTGTGTTATCAGTGTTGCAAAAATGCTGAAAAAAGTGAAAAAACAGCGTAACTTCCCTAAAAATGACCCGATCATGCTGATTTTCGAACTTGACCTGCGTATTATGAATATTCATCAGTTTCATAAGTTTCAAGCCAAAAGGTAAAACGGTTTTCCACTTATCGTGTTATCGGTGTTGCATATATGCTGAAAATAGGGAAAAAACAGCGTAACTTCCCTAAAAATGACCCGATCATGCTGATTTTCGAACTTGACCTGCATATTATGAATATTCATCAGTTCTGTAAGTTTCAAGCCAAAAGCAAAAACGGTTTTCCACTTATCGTGTTATCGGTAAAAGTGCACGACGGCGACGACGGCGACGACGGCGACGACAGACGCAGATGATGGCTATATGTACAGACACATCTGTGTCTGTACATAAAAACCAAAAGGCAGATGACCGGTGACTCACCCTTCCATACAAAGTGTGCAGCAGGGAGTGTCCAGTCCTGTCAGCCACACAGCAACACCTGTGAGCTTGACCACCTTTCCCGTATTTCAGACTCTGACCACCAAAGGCGCGCTGGTAGATCTTCCCATTCTCCAGCCGACTAAATGGCATACCATAATTCTCAAGCTGAAAGGCAAGGCACCCCAAACAATTGTTAATTTTTTAAATCAACAATAAACTTGATTAAAAAATCTAATGACAACGTCACCAAGGGTACTTATTGATCAGTTGTCCTTGGAAACATGCAATAAATAAATAAATAAATAAATGGAAATTTCACCCTACCTCTATAACGGCTTTAGGTGCCTCTTCGGTCATGTAATGAATTGCATCCTGATCTCCCAGCCAATCAGATCCCTTGACAGTGTCGTACATGTGCCACTTCCAATCATCTTCCTCCATATTGCCCAGTGCTGCATTAATGCCACCCTATATTTGGAAAATATCAGCAATGTAAAAACTTTCAAGCTATACATGCATGTTTTGGCCATAATCAACTTACAGGGAATCTCATTTATTCTAACATGCCATGCCATGGACTTCAAAATTCTGTACCTGTATACATTTGTGTGAGACGTAATTATATTATTCTTTTATAGCTTAAGCTAAAAATGTGGCTAACTAACCACACCATAAACTAACTTCTTCATGCCATTAAATTTAAGTCAAATACAAAGCATATTTTAACCAATGTACAGAAAATATAAAATACAAAATTTATGCCAGAGAGAGTGATAAAGAGATCATGAGTGACAGAGAAAGAAAGTTGGAGAGAGGGTCCACATTTCCAAATTTCAGTTCCACATGTTGTTGACTCACTCAACCTACCTGTGCTGCAACTGTGTGAGATCGTGTTGGAAACAATTTGGAGATACACGCTGTCTTAAAGCCCTGGTTAGCCAATCCAAAAGCAGCTCTGAGCCCCGCCCCTCCCGCTCCGACGACAACTGCATCATAGGTGTGATCTATCACCTGATAATCCTTGGAAATCTGGAAGATATGATGTTTCTTTATTAATCATCAAATCAACGAAGGGCCTTGGTGTAAAAATATTTGAATATTTAGAAGGATCAAACATTTAATCGGTGAGGGTCTTGGGGACATCTTAGGGCCCATCAGAATTGAATTGAAAATCTCGTAATTTTGCAATTCCATGGGAGGAGTTTTAAAACCATCATCAACTACAAACCAAAAGAAATGGATTGATTCATAGAAAATTAAAACAATCTGAATTATGCTACCAACTTCATTTTGATTATTTTTCTCTGTTTGAAATATACACAGGGTTTCAGCCAGGATTTAGCAATAGGGAGTAGAATCATTTTCTTACTGAGACGGGCCTTCTAGGCCTAATAATACACTCCAATAAATAACAAAAAATCTGAAAAGACAGGCATTCCAAAATTAAAATAGGGAGTCTAGAATGGATGCTCGGTTAATGCCTAGTTGAACAGATTACAATATTATTACCACTGGGCACATAGTGTTGCAGATTTTCCAAAAAAAAAATTTATGAGAGAGAGAAAGAGATAAAGAGGGAGAGAGAGTTCACTTGATGGTGTCTGCTGTCTGCCCACCTGTCCTGTTTTCACATCTGTGTTCACACTGGGTCCAAAATGGAGCTTTCTTGTAGCTGTAGAGGTGGACGCAATCTAGGAAATAATAATAAATATTATATGCAATATTTAAAGTACATAAAGAACGTCTTAGTTCCTTGTGCTTACTAATGAAAAGCAAGGGCTATATTGCAACTTTGGCATTAATCTGACCAGGATTTTACTTGCACTTTAAGTTATGTACCAAATATTTTTCTGCTTGTACTTTAACACAACATGACATTGCTTTCCTCAACTGTTATCATTCGACACCGTTATCATTATATATCAAAATGCAAGCTTATGGCGTCTGTCCTTGAAATGACAAACTGTCAGTTACATGTACTGGAATTACTTTTCTTTCAAATATTATGAGACATAAAATTGAAAAATATTATTTTGCTATCACCACTGAGGCTGTAAATTATAGCTGACAGCAAACTGACTGTTTTCTTTCATTTCTTTCACGGCTACTTACAGTACGTGAGACAATAATAAACAGTCAAGTTACACAACACGGCCGGCCAGCAAAAAAGTAAATTATGGCTTTATATTATAATTACTAGAGCCATACACCCACAAACAAAACACCCAGTATGTAACGCTCTTTGACGACCAACCATTTTACTGACACAGGAATAACTTTTATTGAACGGGGAAAATATACACAACAAAGAGTACCCAGGTTTTCAGACACTGGCGACCTTCACGCTTTCTAAAAGGTCAAAGCTTTTAAATTGTTTTCAGTGAGAAAACAACGCAAACAAATGTTAAGATTACTCCAAAGAGTATGACAGCCAATAAGCTTGTTGCGCCTAATGCGTCAACATTTGAAAGAAATGCCTACCGGTGTTTTGATTGCGATGTTCTTCACCAGCTGAGAGGACACTTTCAACACCGCCGCCATCTTGGATATATTCTATCCCAGAAGCACTACTTGTGTAACTTGCCTTACATAAGCCGAGATTGAATGAAAAACTATTTGCATAACACATTTGAAGGCATTTGCTGTTTTATGTGTAGTTATATGTTGGTATTATAACCAAATAGCCCATCAGCTGCTTTAGTTCTGTTAAAATAGCAAAGATTATTGTTGACCCCTGGGTTGACCCGGAAGTTCTTAGAGTTGACCTTGCGTGCCCTTATCTTGTGAGAGGCAGCTGAGGGGGGCGGTAAGCCACACGAATTAAACGAGTGACTCCCAGTTTGAGAGAAAAAAAGAGGTATAGAGGGTTAAAAGTCTTCTACATACAGAAAATCCACGCTTCTCTTTTTCAAAGATCTCCAGAGATTCCAAATGATCGGCTGAATTTCCACCTAAAAAAAGACAAAAAAAAGGGGGCGGAGGAAGCGGTGTTCCCAGGCCTACATTTATAATTTGGCTATAAGGTGGTATTAAGGTTGGCCATTTTCATACATGAAAATGTATACATGACAAGCGCAAGCACGTAGGAGTCAAATATCAAAACCATGCCTTCTGGTTTCGTACCGCACAAGGCTGAATTATAGGTATAATTAGGCCTACTCCTGGAATAAGAATAAGATTGCAGGTAGGCCTACATGTAGGCTAAATGTAACATCTATTGCCTTCGCGAACTTTGATTTTTTTTTAATGCTACGTACAATATTTGCCACTTTTGTTTGCCAAGGATCGATCGTAACCTCAATTTACACAAACCAAAAGTTTTCAGATGTTTTAAAAGTGACCTAGCTGTTTATAGGGGTCCTACATTTGATCGAGTAGCCCTAGGCCCTGCGTGTAGCATATTATAAATAATTAGGCCTATTATTATTTTTAATAAAAATCGAAATGGATTACAAATTGCAGTTGATTTTGATTATATAAAAATGACGTTAAATGTCTGTCATTTCTCTGAGTTAACGAGTTCGTTTTTCTCGCCCCCTTATTTTTATACGCTTTTTAAGAGGGTCCCACTGGGTATTTTCGTTACCCGTGAAAGCCATTTTTATAATTATTTCCGGAGATGCGTGAAACGCTCATATTATTTAGCATGATCCGTGAAGAACCGGACCATACAGCTCCTTATTTTTCGTCCTTCGTGAAACGAAGTCATTATGCTCGTCGATTCCGATTTTCAACTCGTATTTCTTGTAGGCCTATTTTCACTGAGACATGAATAGTTTTATTCACTGTGATATGTGAATGATTTTATTTCCCGTGAACTGTGATCAATACCCCCTCCCCTCCCTCCATGAGACCCTCTTTAAATATGTTAACACAGATGAGTACATGCATGTATTTGATGGTAATTACATGTAGACAATAATTGTCATTCCTGAATTGATTTTGAAGTAATTATTTTTATTTCCCGAGCTTTTTCCTTTTATATAATCACTCAATTTTCGCTCTTTTCCCCGAAGTCATTTAAGTATGAATTTACAGGGTAGGCCTACAAGGTCAAGTCAGTGGTTTGAAGTAGTAAAATAATGTCTGTCTTAATTCAGGGGAGGATTGAGGCCGTCTTCTGGGTCTTCTGGAAGACAGTCAGATTTTTAAGTTTGCAATGACTAGTATCTAATTTTTTTCTGTCGGAAGACGGTCAAAAACAGAGAATGGATCAGCAAAGACAATTTGAAAGACTGTCAGAAAATATCTTTGGATCCGCCGCTGTAATTGTCTTCATCGTACTGCCCGTTAACTAGGCAAAGGTCAATCATGCAAGGCCGAGGACAAATTATGAAGTCGTTTTTAAAACGAACCCTTCCGGATATGGTGATTTATCGTTGTAAAAAAAGTGCAGTGTAACTACTGCACCCTGAATGTAAGAGGTTAATTACTACAAACTAGCCTCCGTTAATCACCGTGTCTCTGTCGTTAACTACCAAAGGCAGTGGAGGGTAGTTGGCAGGAACCACAGAAACGCAGGATGCAGAAACGTGCGTGCATCTGGCAAGGTGCGGTGTTGGCATTGGTTCAGGGAAGCCGTGGCTTGTGCTTTTTTGTTTTCACACCATCCTGTTCCGCTTGCGTTGAGGAAATAAATGAACAGGAGAGGTATCAGCCGAGGAATTCTTCATTCACACTTCTCACTTCCCCCAACCGTACTCTGCTGTTCATGGCGCTGGTAGGCCTACAGTTACCAGTGACTTCACAGACCCAGGCTGCCACACCGCTATTTTCTAAAATCTTTACTATCTGTTTGTTTAGACCATTCAACACAAATAAACAATGCTGTGTGGTGTGATGCCAATTTTTAATCTTACACGAAAATATGTTCTGCTGTTGTAAAATAAATTGAAATTTAACCGCAAGGAAATTCATTTGACATCGTGTGAACTACTGATAGCGAGAATAAAGTCAATGGAACAGAAATAAATGGCCAACAAACTTGCTCGTGTTCGATACGGAAATATAACTCGTGTTTAGGTCCTAGTCGAAAAATTTGATTAATATAATTAACTTCATATAATTTAAGATTAAAATGCACCATCCAAACACGAATTATGAATGAATAAGAGGGGAAAAAAGAATCAATCAAGAAAAAAAAAAAAAAAAACAGATCGAGAGATCAAACCGCCTCTTTCATATAGTAGGTAGTTCCCAGCAGTGCAGCATACATGATGTATATTAAAAACCCGCTTGTGAGTCATATGTAGAGAGGCCCACATTTGATGATCTAAATGATTTTCTTTCCAAAACTCCAAAATGATATCATGCCTATTTGTTATATTTTAGTTTAAAATAATGGTTCCTCCTTTGGGACCAATTTCAATAAAATAAGAAATAAAAATCGGCCTGAAACCGGTTTTCTTGACCTACCTTCTTTAAATCCTATTTTTGAACTTGACGTTTTTGTCTGTCACTTTTATTTTGAAGCTCTTTTGTTGAAAGGTGCCCTTGTGACAGTGACTCATAAAAATAAAAAAAGATCAGAGCAACACACGAAAAAATGAAAACCAAGAGAATTTTTTTGTACTCAGTCGTTGGAATTTAGAATAGAATAAGTTGACTCAAATATGGGACCTGATGTGTGCTTATTTATTTATTTATTTATTTATTTATTAATTTGAAAGTTCTAGTCAAAAAGTCTAAATGTACGAAATACACGAAAAACATTGTTTTCTAAATGAAATGTGTGTACATGTATCCTTTTTCACCACAAAAATATCCGATTCTTATGTCAAAAACTTCTGCTTCGCATCGGTAATTTCCGTGGTGACCAGGATTGCACGAGAAAACTAATGTGTGCAAGTTTTTCCAATTTGGACTTCATTGAAAACACACACGCAGTAGTAAAAAGGAAAAACATCTTAGAAACGTGGGTGTGATTTTTCTAAGCTAAAACACCACAACAGGAATAATTCAATTTACGGACAGGTTTAATACCCAAGAATAGCAGGGTTAAAAGATATTTTCAGATACGGCATCCAAAACCTAACGCGTGAGTCAAAGAATTGGCAGGGGGTCTTCTGTCTGTCATGAATTAATTTTCAAAATGCGGAGATGCACGGCACTTGGGATGAGAGAACCATGGTGAAAAGACACAGTGACGCACCTATAGGGTTTAGGTAGTGGTGGTGGGAGGGGTGGGGTAGAAAGTGGACGGAAGTGACGTCACCGCCTTGACACACCCCTTAACTACGCCATGACACACCCTTGGATTTTATTCCATAGATTATGCACAATTACCGCAGACTAATTCCCTGAATTTTAACGATAACTGGACATTAATAATAATAACTTTTATTTAGAATCTGTCGTTACCAGTAACACCCTGAGTTTTAAGGAAAACTGACATTAACAACTTCTATATAGAATCTGTCGTTTCCAGTAACACCCTGCGTTTCAGACATTGAATTTACCACGGCATACTCCGGTGACCATGGATCCAGTAACACCATGTGAGTTTTGGGGATAACGGTTGGACTATTTGCAATATCAGCATGAGTCCACCGTCCCTGAGTCCACCGCCCCCCCCCCCCCTCCCAACTCAGGGTGCAATAGCTACCTGTAACTGCCTTATGCACGTCGCGTGCTTCAGTTCCATTACTACGATGGCCAGAGCATCCATTCCTGAGCTTGTGGATTGCAGCGGTCAGTCGTGAGTGTATTTGGACCCCGAGGATGATTAACAAGGAAGGGAAATCGCTAGCCGTGAGTGTATGCACCAACCTTAGAAAAGATGACCAGCAATGATTTAATCATAAACATTTGTGAAACAAGCAAGCACATATGTTTCTTGTCAAGTGAGACTATTTACAAGAAGCCTCATTTTGAGACTTCATAGCCCCCTTAAAATAATGAAGAATTATCGAGGAAAACTTTTTATGAGACATGGATGAAAATATATACATGTCTATATATGTATGAATGTACTAGTATATGATGACCCGCGATCCTCTCCTCTTAAGCGCAGGCGCAATAGAAAACGTGTACAATGCGAAATAAAAATAGAAAACGTATGTGTACAATTCTCTCGCCAAGTATTTCTATTTTTAACTTTTTTTAGATGTGTGCCAAGCTTGTTCAGCCTTGGAGTTCCCAATAAGGCACAAGGTCGCGCGCACCGATTGTGACGACACAGTGATTAATCCGGATTTGTCGAGTCACGGGGATTGGGGAATAGACTGGTTTAAAAACCGCGACGGAATTCGTGGCCTTTTATATTCGGGACAGACAGCAGACGAGAAGGAGACAAAAAAGATAAAAATATGAAGGTAGGTCTAATTGATATAAACTAGTGTGTTATATCAGCATTAAAAGTCGCTGGTGTTGGTAAATTCGCAATTTATGTATTCTTTGTTTGCTTTTTTGCTATTGGAATGCACTCCCCTTCTTTTAAAGTTTAGATATCTCTCCAGAATAAAAATCATTTTTTTATCAGATCCATTTTCTTATGTTTTTTTTTCCAGAATTTTTTAAGCACACCGTTAGTCCTAGTAGTATTTCTCCTGATTTCTGGGGATATTTTGAAAGCTCAGGGCGGACGGAAAAACCAGGAACGCCGTTTACAAAGGCTAATGCGCCTTCAAGCTTCATTGGGCGTCCCCCTCGCGAACGACGTCGACGCTGCGAACGACGCTGCGGGCTCTGATGGCGACGCCTCGAAGGTGATACGGCAACTGCAGAGCACGGTGGCGGCCTTGGGCAGGCAACTTATCATGCAGCAGCTGTTTGTAGAGGAAAGAATACGGTCTGAGGGGAGCTCGGGGATAAAACAGATCAGACTTCAGACGGACGGTGAGTTTTGGGATCTTAGTTAGACGTGATGGTCCCGTGCAAATGAGCCTGGTTTTCAATGTTGCTATTTTGAAGAAATTATCAGTGTATCTTCGCTTGCTTTACAGGGTCGGTGAAATACTTTGCCTATATGTAAGTGTTGAAAAACCGAGTTTAAGAATTATCATATGAATATCATTACATGAAAAATTTCCCGTAGATGATACGGCCGCTAGAGCGTGGCGTGATCCCCTCCTCTGCACGCGATGCTGGTGCGTTAAAGTCACTGAATTCTTTTATATTATGTGTTGGTTATAACCCCTGTTTTGTCAAATACTCTAACAAGAAGAATCGCTTATGCCTTTCCTTCTCAGCAGAATCAACACCTAGCACATAAAATATATGACCATGTATGAGAAACTGACATCCCGTCTTTAATGAAAAGTTACCTTAGAGCAACTTTGAGTATTACAGTTTATATCACTGAAGACCGACTCCTATTTGCAGCATGCCTATGTCTTTTCCTGTAAATGGAAAGGATAAGTTAATCGCTTTATCATAGGGTGCTGAATTAAATCTAAGTTAAATGCCGAGTTAAATCATAGAGAAGGCAAAATGATGTAAGGGTCATTCCACAAAAAAGGGAAACATTTGAGATCCGCCAGTGATGCACATCTTTTATGGAATATCTGCTTAATTGCCGTTTATCACGTTTATATTCTTGTTTATTTCTCTCCATATTAGATGGATCAAACAGCAAAAATAATGGTTTGCATATAATTTGTGCATCACTGGCGTGACTCAAATGTCCTCTTCTTTGCGGAAGAACCAGTATTTCATCTTTATCAAACATCAAGACATTCAAACCGCATTACTGTCATTTGAAACGTTCACCAGAGCTTCATTAACGCACAGTTTGCGTATGCGGCGGTTATCAATAAATCTATTAGCATGATTTGAGTATTTAAACCAACCACCAAAAGTCATTTAGAAGACGGAGAACTCAAAAATGGACACTCAAATTTTTACAGCTGATAATAGTGTTTGCTATGGTCTAGTTGAAGGGGCATTAGTTAATTTAGTAATATAAAATGGCCACAAAGCGTCGTAAATCAAAGGATAGAGAACTACAATGCCATGATGGACAACACTTATCTTCATTTTATGGACTTCGTTTTGACAGGTGTTTTGATCATTTTTAGACGAAAGCCTTTATCGACGAGGCATCTTTGCGTCTTTTTCCTTTGTCAGACGTGGCGGTCTTCTTATTCGTTAACATTTTCTGGTATAAAATGACAAATAAACCTTTCTTTATTTATAAACCAATTTATCTCTTTGTTTGATAACTTTATTTTATGTTTTGTTATTTATTTTTATTGCGCGCACGTGAAAGTATTTGTGTGCTTTGCAATACGCCGCATCTGCTTAATTATTTATCTGAACTAAAATCCCACGACCATTATTTTCGCTTTAACCTCGTGAATCTGCTATCTAATCCATCATCATCACACACTTAAAAACTGTCGAAATAATTTCCTTCAATTTCCACAAAATAAATACAAGTTCCGTTGCATATCATTTTCAATTTAATTCAATTTACGTATATAATCACCAATCAACATGTTCTAAGTCTATAATTAATAAATAATTATAATGAGCATCCGTTGTACAGTACTTGTAGTTTGTCAGGCACAGTTTCTATAAGACTTCACCTGGTATACCGGGGTTTGAGATAAGTTAACAGCGGTCACGCTCTGAATGAAACGGATGTGTCTTCTATGAAAATTAACTTTTCTTTAACCATATAAATTTTAATTTGCATAAACAGGTCATCCTAGGGTTGACAATAGTGCTCTCCGGTTCTTGTGTTGTGTTGTCTTTTTTGCATGGAGATATGTTCGTGTGCATGTGTCCATGAGAGATTGAGCTTGAGATTGATTTTAAAATGTCACAAAACCAAATTTGTCTCTCCAGGCACGCGGCCGTACCACTCCACGACGTACACCGGTAACAGCGCCGTCAGTATTCATAACCATGCTAACTACGACCGCACCATAGGGATGGGAGAGTTCGTCGCCGTATTGAACGGGGTGGAGTTCCGGACCAGACATAACGATTACAAGTTCGTCATGCCATGCCGGAGAAGCAGAGATTTTCACTGCACAGAGGATATCCCTTTCCCTGATGTGCCACCAGAGGTACTGTTGGCATCGTTTGATAATTTTGCAACAGCGTCAGAATATTTCAAGTGTAAAGAAGTCTATTTAGTTGTAATAGATCTATTTTTAGTAGTATCAATCTTTAGTTATCTATCTGTTTACTCTTCTCTTAATTTTTTTATTCATTTATCTTCATTTTATGGACTTCGTGTTTTTTATTTTTGTATTTTTATTTTTCGTCTTGCTTTTTAAAATATATGAATCAATTTGTTTTTTGATTGTTTGTTTCATCAATTTATTCATCTATCTATCTATCTATCTATCTATCTATTTATTATTATTATTATTATTATTATTATTATTATTATTATTATTACTGTTCATTGCTTATTCGTTGTTTAATTACCAACCATGTATTCATTCAGGTCAGGAATAAAGCCACGGTGCAGGAACAAATAGCGGAGATGAAGGAGTGGTTTAAAGCCTGGAAAAATCAAGACAAATCTCACAGAGATTACACTAAATACTTCAAAGCCAACCTTTGCTACTTAGAAGGAGCCTGGATGAAAAGTTCAGGTAATGGAAAATTATCTGCGAGAAATGAATAAGATACTCAGAAAGCTGTGTCAGCTATGTTGTCGTAAGAATGAACAGTTTTTAAAATAATTGCCAGTAAATTATATATTCTTATTTTCTGTTTATTTGTTTGTGTGCGTAATTGTTTGAATTAATAATGTGTACTTCAGCGGTATTAATTAAGCAAAAAGCTTTAATTTGCATCCCATTAAAAAAAATTACAGTATTCGTATCTTTCACTCACAGCATCTTTAGAAGAGTCTTTCGACAGCGATCGCCACTTTTTGGACGCCACGGACTGGTTTGACCTGCACGAGAAGGCTCGCTTCAGCGCGTACTCTGGTCGCAAGGACAACCTTGAGAACTTTGCCTATCTTCCCGTCACCATTTCCGGTCTCATCAACGGCACGATTCCCGAGCTTGCGCAATGGAATTACCGGATATTATGTCATCCTCTGAAGAAGGACATACCGTTCAGCCACTTCCGGACCGTGGACGACCTTCATTCCAGAATGGCCTACAAATCCAGCATGGCGCTACAAACCGGATCACGAAGAGCGAGGTAAGGCCAATAACGGAGACTGTATCCGGTAACACTTCATTTCAATATTTTTTCATCTATCTATTTATCGGTTGTTCAGTATTGAATGAGATTTAATAAATGTTTTGTACAAAAAATAAATTAATCTTCTCATTCAACAATATCAGAAGATTTCATATTTAAAAAAAATATGGATTAATTTTTGAAAAATATAATAAGTAATATAATTGAATGTAAAATATAATACAAATATAATAGTATAAATATAATTAATTGGATAAATTTACTAATTGTCTGTATCATCCATTAAAAAAATAAAATTACAAAATATTCCATAGGTTCCAACTAAACCCTGACAACCGCGGGTACTGGAGTGAAGAGAAGGCGTATCAGCGTAGTTTTCTGGACGAGCTGATGGAGCAGATCCCAGGCAAGGACAATTATCCAGCTAATATAACAGACGACATCTTTGGTTACACGGCCTTCACCTTGGACCCGGACGAAGACGGCAACGACCGCGTGCTGAATGCCGGTTACTACCATCGTTGGTTTAAAGTCGCTAAAAAGGTGTGTTAATTCATCTTTATTATTATTTTTTTAAAAATAATTCTATCATCTGTTCTGTCATTATTTAATCATTTCATTTTTATTCAAACTTTTAACATTTATGTTGACCCATATTCATTACTTTTTCTTTAAAAATGACTGCGTTCAAAAGTTTTCATTTTCGTGGTACATGTAAGTTAGAAACACGAACAACCATAACAAGGATTATATTTATGCGTTTTTCCACTCGGTATTAGGGAGCAAACGGCTTAACACAGATGCATCGTAGTTACTCAGACCAGAACATCTTCATGGCTATGACAACACAAGAGAAAGTAGCCGGTCTAAGTATTAAAGATTGTAAACTAAGGAAGAAAAACAACAGAGGTAAGTAGAAAATAGTTTTTTTTTTTTTTTCAATTTTCATCATACAAGTTTTTCCCCATTTTGCCTTAGAAAGCATAAACAAAGTTAGATATACAACGTTTAACAATAACATACTGTAAGGTACACATTTCCTTAACCAATAAATATTTTAAACATTTAGGTATTGGAAATCGTATTCCTATTTGATTTTAGATTGAAAGACTGTATTTTGTAGTTAAAGACTGCGGCAGAGTAGAACAAAAGTGGACCTATGCTATCCCCCTGGAGATCGTGTATTCAACGCCTCTGAGTTCCTGGAACCCTTACAACCTGCACTTCAAAGGAGACGCCAAGTCCGACCTTGGGAAGACTGTGAGAGCGGGGCCAAACGGTAAGAACCGTGGGTGTAGAGATGTGCCTGGTGGATTTTGTGTAGACCTTGTATCAACAACTGCGAACCAATTTATTCAGTATTCTGGAAGTCTTAAAAGTCCATTGCAGTTGTTTGATACAGATGCTTTATTAAGACCACAAACTATAGTCCGCTTTTGCCCATTTACTCATTTAAAGATAATTTAAGCCCGGCTATAACCATTTTATGCACGGAAATGGATAATTACGCCCCCAGATTTCACAGTCGTATATTTTATCATATACTGCCGATCATCTACTAGTATAATCGCTATATTTTTCTTTTTTGTCTTTAAAAGGTTCTGTCCGTAATGGAAAGAAGGAAGCCAACTTGGCATTTGATGGTACCAACAATGCCTTTTACTACCACACTCCGGTAGAGATGTTCTACACCAACGGGGATAAGGACGCTGCGGACACCGTGAGATATAGAGGCGTTGGTGTCTTGGACAGACAAGGTACAGTGATGATTAGAATTACAGTTATACTTAAACCACTGAAATCTACTGTCGGGTCTACGCTTTGAGTTATCAACTACTCTTGGAGACCATTTCCACAGATATTTAGATCGATCTATCCCCCTGGGGAGTCTCACTAAATTGCTGTCAACTTGGCCGGCTTAAATGTCTGTCACGCCTAGTAAAGTTGTTAGGGGGTAATTATCTTTACCCTTGCTGATTTGTCAGGCGTGACAGACAATTAAGCCTCTTGAGCTGACAGCAATTTGTCGTGAACCCCCAGGGAGTTAGGTAAGATGGGTCGATCTAAATCTGTGGAAGTGCAGTCTTGGACTGGGTTCCCATCCATAGATCGATCTAACAGGGGTTCTCGTTAAATTGCTTTCAGCTTAAGTGGCTTAGATGTCTGGGACGCCTACCTAAAGCTGCTAAACGATAGTTAATTAGCCCTTATCAGCTTCAGTAGGCGTGACAGACATCTCAGCCGCTTAGGTTAATTGCAATTAAGCGAGAATCTCCTTGGGGATAGTTCGATCCAATGTTAGTACAACAGGGTTTGGGAATGGTTTCTTGGAGTCCTTGACAGACAAGGTAGACTGATGATTAACATTACTGTTATCCTTGAGTTTGTTCTTTTTACATATTCGACATCTGAACATAAATTTTAGTCCATGAAATCTGATGGTCTTGACGTACCATACAGACAAGGTATAAATTGAACACACTTTTTTCTAGGCGAAGTAAAATCGGTAGATGCCTCTGGTTTTCGAATTGAACTTAACATAGATGGCGCTGGTGAAATTCGTCAGAGATGGCCCATTATGCCCGTGTCGGTAGAGGGCAGCACCATCATGAAGGAGATCGAGGCACTAAAGGTATTATTTATTTATTCATTTATTTATTTATTTATTTATTTTAATTGGGACATTTTTGAAAGTATTTTTTAAAGACTTTGTCATGCACGACTTCCAACGGTTCTTTGTTTCTTTCGCTAAGTATCTCTGTAAGCTGAATGATTTCAAAACAGTGGTATTAATACATGGAACACATACAGTAGGATTTTAATTTTTGACAGCGTCTTAAACAAGACATTACCTATGACAAATATTCCTGCAATTTTTCACCCATCCTTTCTTAATCTTCTTTCCGTTTTCTCATATGTGTGCTTTTCCCTGTCCATATAATTTATTATTTTCACGTGGTGAAAACTTCACCATTTATTTATTCATTTATATATCTTTGTAGGACATGGTCATGGAGCAGCGGAAGTACATCAGCTTGTACCGGGAATTACCGATTGCCCTGTCCTCTGATAATGCCACGGAATATGCTCCAACTCTGCGCGACATCGAGCTCGAAACAACGGTCGCCACGGAGGACCCGCCTGGCCCCCATACCCACATGTAAGTCTCAACCTTCCCCCCCCCACCCCTCCAACGGTTATATGTTTAACAGCGTTGGTTTTTGGATGAGCTATTTGTACATTCTGCACAAAATTTGTCGAAATTTTCTGAAATGACAATTACTTAGGAGATAATGGAGGGAAAATAATTTTAACTAAATTTAGATTTCCTAATTATTTTCAGAGAATTTTAACTGCTTTATTGCTGGGGAGGGGGGGGTGCACCCTTGGGGGCCTCTAGTTAAAACATTTTATAATTTTACGTTTTTAATGTATATTCATAAGTCGGGAAAGGGTTTAGTGTTAATACCGTTTCAAATTAACACGCGCTCGTTTTTAATAGGTAAAAAACATTGTAACTTTTTTATTGAAGGGTACGACTGACTGCTGACCACATCAAAATCATGAAAGAAGATGGCCGCGCCGTCACTGTTATGACGTCAACAGACTTTGGGCATTTTCACCAGCTGAGGGTCAGATACGTTAAACGATGCGACTGCTTCCGCATATCAAAGTAAGTAAAGTGAGCTTTATAAATTACTCACTTAACGTTTTTTTTTCACTGGGAGCGTAGCCTACGTGTGATCGAATTTTACTCATCTTCTAGTAGAAATAAGTTTAAACTAGTAGTTTGATGCAGCTGTGTTTTGATATTAAATGTCCACAAAAGAGAATGAACTTATTGAAAAGAACATCAGGGTAAATGTGTTATAGTTAACAATGACGATGTTATAGTTTCTGGTATATCTTCTCGACGACGCCTATAGCCGAGTTTATTATTATTATTATTATTATTATTATTATTATTATTATTATTGTGTTAGGTGTGACAACCAAAGAGGCGGTTGCTGGGACGGACACTCAGTGGAGCTAATCCCTACGGCAGGCTAATAAATGCGCATGCGTACAGACACCGGCTAGTTCCTGAAGGTTGTCAGACAATCTGCAACATAGAAACAGTTCATGAATAAATCAGACATCAATTGTATATCTCACAGTTTTATTTGTAATAGAAGATCATGTGATGATTTTATTTTATTTTTCTATTCATCTTTTATGGGGGTAGATTGGAAAGGGAGTTGGCAAGAACAAGTGTGGGATGATGTTTTATTTGTAGTTTAATTAAGATTTTGTTGCATCCATTGTCAGTCATTGCACGTTAGTCAACCGGTTTGAGTAAATCCAGCTCTTACAAACTGTTTTTACTGTTGTTTATATAATGTGGTGCTCAAAAGAAGGCTTTGAAACCCTTTGAATAAAACATGTTGCTATGGTTTCCCGCTCGGCTTTAAGTAATAGATAGACCCCGAGTCAGCGAGGGTTATGTGGCATACACGAGTGCGTAGCACGTGTGGTTATAATTAGCACGTTACACCACGTCTGAGTCTTTTGTTCTTCACTTCCACCGTGGTCTAAAAGAGGGCCCCATTGGGTATTTTTGCTACCCGTGAAAGCCACTTTTTATTTCCCAAGATGAGTGAAACGTTCATATTTTTTATCTTGACCCAAGATGCACCCCCTCCTGTGACTCGTAAATGCGACTTTACTTAACCTCGTCCTTCAGCAAAGAAAATTATACCCGGTGATTTGTGATTTACAACTCGCCGGACTGACATCTTCTATGAGATATGAATAAATTTTTATTTCCTGTGATTTGTGATTTGATGATTTTATTTAAATGTGGCATACACGAGTGCGTAGCGTTGTCCACTATCAAATTAAGTCTGTTTCTCAGATTTTTGTTACCCACATAATATTTTTGTGGTGAGTGACTACGAAGTGTTCTTGGGCATTTTGAGAAAATCTAAGATGGCCGCCACATGTCATAGGAATACAAAGGGTTGGAACTAATGTCAGCTAGGAAAAACATAATTCACTATCAAATTCAGTTTATTTTTTCAGTGTTTTACACATTATTATTACACTGTGATACATATCTAGCAGATAATAAATGTGCATATTTGATCATTTTGAGAAAATCCAAGATGGCCGTCAGTGGCCATAGGAATACTCCTGGAATTACAACTGCACATCCATGGCTTTTCATCTACTACCAGGATGAAATTGTGTTTGCTTATCAAGTTTTTCCCATCCTTATCAGTCCTATGATATATATATATATGGTGGGTAAATAGTGTGCATCCTTGGATATTCTGAGAAAATCCAAGATAGGTGCAATTTGACATAGGAATACTAATGGGTGGGTTTCAATTGCTGCTAGAGAGGCATATGGTTCATTATACAAATACATTACCATGGGTTTGTTTTAAAATTAATTTATGTTTTTCATTCCTCTTATTATTACCCTTATGATGTTTACCTGGTCTGTAGGATGTGTGTATCTTTGGGCATTCTGAAAAAAATTTAATATGTCTGCCTTTTGTCTTTAGAATATTTGTACACATAATCAAATAATGCCAGAGATACACTGAGTACAATTTAAATGTAGTTAACTTTAGATCGTTTTTAAATGTTTTTCATATCCTATTTATCCTTATGAAAGACTCTGTGTGTGTAGAAAGCGTATGTATCCTTGAGTACTATTTGGAGAAAACCCAAGATAGCTGCCAGTTGTCAAACGAATATATCATTCAAATGCACACGGATGTCAATGAATGGAACAGTTCAGACATTGATTCCAACATGAAATAAAGCCATTTGATGTTGAAACATGTTGGCATCCTTATTAACCTTACTCTATATGAATCTGGTGTGTAGCAAGTGTGCATCTTGCGTATTTGAGAAAATTCAAAATTGCTGCAATTCACAATAGGAATAGTGCAGTCAACTACTGCCAGAGAGACTTGGGTTCAATATAAAATGAATTTTGTTTCTCGGTATTTCCCACATTCTTTTTGGACTTTGAGATATCTATCTGGTAGGTGACAAGTGTGTACCCTTAAGTATTTTGACAAAACATCATGATTACCCTCATTTGCCTTAGAAGTGCCTAAAAAAATCCAATGCACCAGTTTTCCTATGGGGAAAAGAAGGCCATCTTGGATTCCCCCAAAATGATCAAATATGGACATTAATGACCTAACAGATATGTACCATGGGATAATGATAATAAGAAAAAAAAAAAGAAAAACAACTGAATTTAGCTTCATTTGATATGGAAGCCTATCTCTTGCGAGAATTAACTGAACCCCACCTTCTATGGCTAATGGCAGCCATTTTGTTTTGTTTTGTTTTCATAACATTCTCTTCACATATATATTATGTGGATTAAACAGATGTGGAAAATACTCAGAAACAAACCTAATTTATCAATTTTAATTTAATTAAAATATTACAGACTTGACATTTAATATGGAATATTTCAGTTTTAAAGGTATACCTAGGTAAAAATGCGTTCTTTTTTCAAAAAACTCAGATCTCACATAAGATATCTGACTGGAGAAGTATGAAGTCAGGTGTGTCGCTACCAATTAACTGACTATCAAGTCTGTTGCACTGCTGCATTGTGTAATATGCAGTGATTTAATTGGCTAGTGCTCCTCTGGGCTGGTCAAAGCTTGCCTTTGATGAAGCATGGTTCTGTCAAAAAAGTATCCATATGTCGGCAACTACTGAATCGAAGAATTTGAAATTTGGCATGCAAGCGGTCTGTTTTGCAGTGCGTAAAATGAGTTAAGCAGTGTTTTATAAAATTGATAAGCTGTGTCAGAATGGCTAGAAAAATACAGATATTTCAAGACAGATTATTGTGTCAAACGGAATGCTCTGTACAGTTTTATAGAGTTATGCCCAGACTGATGCACCTACACAGAGACCACGCCCAATGTATCGACATCTTACCACCAGGGAACAGGCCTCACTGTCCTTCACGATATGCTGCTGCAATTGAACCAAAACCACCAAGTCCGTTTTGAATGAGGGGCAAATTGTCACCAAAACGTGTTTTTCAAGGCTCTTAGCGAACACCAAAATGGTTTCAGCAGGTTAGGATATCAGGCGACCTCTGAGGAAGCCATTGTAAACAGCAAAACAACGTAGTCTGTTTCTCTAATGAATGTGGAACCATGACCGTTTCCGGGTAGAACACGGAAACCGCGTTGGTTTCTTTATTGAGGTCAGATTTCAACCGTACCGCTAAACTGGTCAAAACGGAGTTTACAGATATCCTGAAGAGGCCTACGACAAGGCGTGTGCCACTTCTTTTAAGTGACTAGGGTCATTGACAGCGTCACTATTTGGAGTGGATACCACATTGGTGCCAAAACACCAATGGGAGTCATCAATGGAAACCTGAACCAGATTAAATAAAGGAATACTCTGGAAACCACTTAACCATCATCTGAAAGGGGGAGCAATTTTAGGTCGCACGATGAGATTGCCGGTTCACACAGAGCACTTTTAATGGCAGATAACTTGCAGAACCAAGGGAATGAGCAGTTACCTTGGTCATCAAAATCGCCATATTTGAACCACATAGACAATATGTGGGTAGGTCATTACTAGCTGTACCAACGCCCTGCATGTCCTTAAAAAAAAAAAAAAAAAAAAAAAAAAAAAAAAAATGAACAAAATTGGACAAGTTTTAACCGTTGCCTGGAATCTTCTTCCAGATTAAACTCTCAAAACCTATCCCAAGGAATGCCTTGCCGCTTGAAAGCTCTGGTAGCAGCAAGAGGGGGTCCTGCATAACAGCGACCATTGCTTTGACTAGACACTTAGATGAGGGGCCTTTGTGGGGCATGTAACTCTTTTAAAGACGATAATTTGGAAAATATAGAGATCCAAAATATCACTTTCAATGGTTGTCGTATAACTTAAAATAGGCAATGTATTTTTGTTTGCTTCACTGGCAAATTCAATTAATGAACTGATGTCACAATAACATCGAACAGATTATCAAAAGTTTTTAAAACACGATTTTAATACTTATTTTCATGTATCAGTAGTCAGCAAAATAGGAAAAAACTGATTCATTATAATTTGGAGAAAATATTCCATATTAAATGTCAAGTCTGTATATCTCCGTGGCAGAAGAAGCCCTATGTGTACACTAGTATTCCTTTGATATGGCGACCATCTTGGATTTTTCTCGAAATGCCTGAGAATAAAGGTTAGTTACTCACTACAAATATATTATTTGTGAAATAAGGCACTCAGAAACAAAATTAATTAGATAGTGGGCAAAGCATCTTCATAGTTGGCATAAGTTGAAAACCCTTAACTCTACATGCATGTTCTGGTATTCCTATTCAAACGGTGGCCATCTTGGCTTTTTCAGAAAGTCCAAGGACACTCGTTTGTTATCAGACATATATGCATAATTTGGGTAATAAGGATGTGGAAAACATTGAGCAAATACTTTATTTGATAAAAATCAACATAGGTATGTATATTTTTTTCTACAGAATTTCACAAATTGGCGGCCATTTTGGATTTTTTGGCCAAACGGTAAATTTTTTCCGTGGGCTACGGCTCTAATTTGATTTAGTATGTCAAAAGGTACCCACATGCAAAATTTGGTGCTTTTATCCACCGTGTCACGATTTGCCAATTTTTTTTTTTTCCCTTAGCTACCAGACTATATTGACAAGGTGCCCATATGCTGATGAACTGGCGAGTGTCCAGTGGCCTCCAAAACTAAAGGTGTTGGCAGCCCATCATGCCACGTGGACTCTTTCCCTCTCTCTCTCTTGGTTTGTTAAATGTACATAATCGAAAGGGAAATAAACCATTTTTGGGTGCTTTCCCAGAGATTTAGATCGATCTAATGATTAGGATTTGGATCGACCTAATTCCCTGGGGGCTCACGCTAAATTGCAGTCAGCCGAGCGGGTACCATAGTTAATTACCCCCTTACAGCTTATAGTAGGCGGGACAGACGCTTAAGCCGGCCAAGCTGACAGTAATCTAGTGAGACTCCCCACAGGGATAGATCGATCTAAAAATCTATGGAAATGGGGTGTTTGATAACATGTAACATGTATTTAAATGAAGCATTTGTTTTGTCAATTGACCTTGACGCCGTCTATAACAGTTAATTTGTAGAAAGAATCGCGTGTGATAGGAGAAGTACTCTCTTTTAGGGCACAAACTCAACAGAACATTTTTGTATCATTTCGTGACGTCGATAATGACGATTTGGGATGCTAAAAAAGGAAAAAATGTATATATCTTTTTTACTTAACTAACCATTTTATCGTTGACATAAAAAATATTTAAACCAGGCGTGACATGAGCAAAGTCAATTCCGAGTGAGTCATATGTAGAGAGGCCCACACTTGATGATCTAAATGATTTTCTTTCCAAAACTTCAAAATGATATCAGGCCTATTTGTTATATTTTAGTTCAAAATAATGGTTCCTCCTTTTGGGACCAGGTTCAGTTAAATGTGAAATAAAAATCGGCATGAAACCGGTTTTCTTGAGCTACTTTATTTTTGAATGCTATTTTTAAACTTGACAGTTTCGTCTGTCACTTTCTGTGAAGCCCTTTTGTTTAACGGTACCCTTGTGACAGTGACTCATGAAAATAAAAAAAAAGATCAGTACAACAGTTGAAAAGATGAAAACCAAGAGAAAATTTTGATACTCAGTCGATAGAATTTAGAATAGAATAAGTTCACTCATGTATGTGGGACCTGATATGCGTTTATTTATTTATTTGTTTGTTTACAGCTTCCTAACTGAGAGGAAACAAAGTGTGAAGATAGGTAGTGTGAAATCAGACTGGCAACGCATTAATGCTGGTGTACCACAAGGCACAAAACTTGGTCCAGTTTTATTTGTCATTATGATTAACGATCTGAGCACCAAATGTGACACATTCAAATATGTAGATGACACCACAATTCTAAGCTACGGGAATACCAAACTGCAGGACAATCTCCCTGATGCAACAACAGAACTCACTCTCTGGTCCCATGCTAATAAACTAACAATAAATACTACCAAGACCAAAGAGATCATATTTGATTTCTCCAAAAAAGGACAAAACTACACCCTTACAAGTAGATAATCAAAGGAATGAGAGAGTGGGGTCTGCTGTCTTCTTAGGGGTTAGGATCAATAGTGATTTGAGCTGGGAAGGTCACATCTGTGATATTTGTAAAAAAGCAAGTGAAAGGCTACACAATCTTAAGCTTCTGAAAAGAGCGGGTATTCCAACCAATGAACTTGTAAGCTTTTATACATCAGTAATCAGACCTACATTAGAATATGCATGTCAGGTGTGGCACCCAGGTCTTACACAACAACAAATTGATAAAATTGAATCCATTCAGATTAGAGCATGTAATATTATATTCCCAGAGCTGTCCTACGATGGGTCACTTGGAACATGTAAACTTATCACTCTTGCTTGTAGAAGAGATTAACTATCTAAACCATTATTGCATAACATGTACTCTGAAGGACACAAAATCCATCATTTGCTACGAGAGATAAATGAAAGTTCCTACACTTTGCGCTGGGTTTATAAGTACACTGTGCCAAAATTGAGGACTGTACGATCGTCAAAAACTTTTATCCAATGGGCTTTATCAAATTTTAAGAACTGATTTTTTTATGAATTTTTAATGTGTATCGAATCATTTTAACACTTACAAGTATATTTTCAGATTATGCATCTCACGACTATTTGTTTTTATTGTAAAATCCAACTTTTTAAGTTGCAAATAAATACATATTATTATTAATATTTTTATTATTATTATTATTATTATTATTATTAAAAATAGAAAACGCATGTGTACAATTCTCTCTCCAAGAATTCCTATTTCTAACTTTTTTTAGATGTGTGCCAAGCTTGTTCAGCCTTGGTCACGTGCACGGTCACGTGCACCGATTGTGACGACACAGTGATTAATCCGGATTTGTCGAGTCACAGGGATTGGGTAATAGACTGGTTTAAAAACCGCGACGGAATTCGTGCCCTTTTACATTCGGGACTGACAGCAAGACGTGAAGGAGACAAAAAAGATAAAAATATGAAGGTAGGCCTAATTGGTACAAACGAGTGAGTTATATCAGCATTAAAAGTCGCTGGTGTTGGTAAATTCGCAATTTATCTATTTTTTGTTTGCTTCTTTGGTATTGGAATATACTCTCCTTCTCTTAAAGTTTGGATATCTCTCAGAATAAAAATCAGATTTTGTTTATCAAATCCCTTTTCTTACGTTTTCTTTTTCAGAACTTTAGCACACAATTAGTCCTAGTAGTATTTCTCCTGATTTCTGGAGATATTTTGGAGGCTCAGGGCGGACGGAAAAACCAGGAACGTCGTCTAAAAAGGCTACTGCGCCTTCAGGCTTCATCGAGCGTCCCCCTTGCGAACGACGCGCCGGCTGCGGGCTCTGATGGCGATTCCTCGAAGGTGATAGGGCAACTACAGAGCACGGTGGGGACCTTGGGCAGGCAACTTATCATGCAGCAGCTGTTTGTAGAGGAAAGAATACGGTCTGAGGGGAGCTCGGGGATAAAACAGATCAGACTTCAGACGGACGGTGAGTTTTGGGATCTTAGTTTAACTTTATGATCCAGTGCAAATAAGCATGGTTTTAAAGAAATGCTGTTTTGAAGAAATTAGCAGTGCACCTTTGCTTGCTTTGCATGGTCGGTGAAATACTTTGCCCATAGGGAAGTGTTGAAAACCGGTGTTTAAAAATTATCATATGAATATCATTACATAAAAAAAATTCCCGTAGTTGATACGACCGCTAGAGCGTGATCCCTTCATTACGCGATGCTGGGCCTGTTTGCACCAACCGGTCGTAAGAAAGGCGTAGCAGTTGCGCCGGCGTAAATCGAGCGCAAAATGCCACGCCCAAGAAAAGCCAGTTGCACCAAACTAGAATCGTTTTTACGTCGGTCTTAACTTAATTTACGCCTGACACCTAGGTGGTGTAAGTCTGTCGTAGCTCGTTTTCCACTATGGCTAGGCAAGCACAGAGAGAGTTTGATGACAATTATCCTGGTTAACGTAGAAAATGTGGGTTGTTATTTGCTTTTTCTTACACAAAACTTCCGTCTGTATACATGTAACTGAGCAGTAGCTTGGTTTTAAAATGTGTGTGTGTGTGTGTGTGTGTGTGTGTGTGTGTGTGCTTACTAAATACGTTATTTATGTAGCCTTCTTATTATAAATTTATGTTTGTTGAAATAAGATGAGGAAATTGTAAGCTGATATGTCAGTAATCGTTAACAAATGCTTATGTAACATTTTTAATATGGTAGGAGTACATAGGAGTAGCCATGTACATGTATTTGCGTATGTACATGTATATGTTTAAATTAAATCTTACCATTCATGTCGATACGTCTTGGCTCTCAGCAGTACGGTTTCTTTCATTCTTTTCATAATTTTGACAAACCATAACTAACCACAGTCATATTTTCTTCACATTTTAAATTATTCATATTTTACTATATATAAACATAGAGACGAGAGCTTAGAATATCAACATTTTGAGGCTCATATGATATGTATTAGGTCTCTTGTATTTCTTAAGCCCCCGTCACACTTATTCGGAATCAGCAGGAATCAAGCAGAATGAGCCTGAATGAAGAATTTTCAAAATTCGCACCACATTCTGGAAAAAAGTTCAAATTGACCTTAATTATTGTAAGAGTACCGTCGGAATACTCAGAATGCGCTTGAATTTGAATTCGCCTGGAATGATTAGTGCACTTTCGGCTGTATTACATGAAGCTCTCAAATGCAGTTCGAATGTAGTTGGAAAACTAGGAATATCTATAATGCTGTCAGAAGGAAGTCAGAATATTTTGAATATACTTTGAATGGCGTACTACTGTAGTTCGATTGCTGGCTAAATTAATATATCAGCTCATTCGAGGCACATTCGAAACATTCCGGCTGGATTTTCTACCCCCGTCACACTAGAGGCGGAATGATCAAGAATGGCGTCGGAAATACAATTCTTTGTGCATTCCTGGATATTCGAAGAGCATTCCGAAAATTCCGAGTGCATTCCAAATATTTTTACCCATTCTTGTGGCCGGCTCGAATGTTTTGCTCATGTCAAAAACTTTCGAAGTGCATTCCAAGTGGAAAATTATCTATTGGCATTTGAACAGAATTTTATCTGCACTATGACTGCATTCTAAATATTCTCAGGGCATTCCGACAGCATTCGAAACATTATGATCAGTTACCATTCCAGTGGCGTTATTTATACACTCTGGGTACCGTGTTACATTCTAAACATGTTAGAAAGTAATTTTGAGTATTTTAGGTATATCAGCTGCATTCTGTTTGAATTCTTTATATTTCAAACCATCATTGGCAGCCACACCGGGAGCATTTGAGTTCGCTTCGTATATCATTCGAGGCACCTTCTTACATACTTCGGCCAGCAATCAAAACTCACTCGTATGGCATTTGAATTTCATTCGGACTGCATTCTAACAACATTCGCAATATTCCCTCCCGATTATGGCACGAATTTTTCAATTAATTCATTCCAGCTGGTTCTGCTTGATTCCTGCTGGCTCCGAATAAGTTTGACGGGGGCCTTAAGTCACGTGCCAGTTCGAATATCCCTCGAATGTGATCAGAATGTTCCGAATGTTGCCAGAATGCCGTGAGAATATTTAAAATGCAGTCATAGTGTAGTTAGAATACTATTCAAATGCCATTCAATAATTTTCCACTTGGAATGCACTTTGAAAGTTTTTTAATATTCGGGCCGACCACAAGAATGGGAAAAAATTGAAATGCACTTGGAATTTTTAGAATGCTCTTTGAATATCCAGGAATGCACAAGGAATTGTCTTTCCGACGGCATTCTTGCTCATTCTGCTTCTAGTGTGACGGGGGTATTAAACTACAAGGTGTAAGCTCGATTGAATTAAATGATACCTCACGGTGTAACCATAGATAAGAAATTGTCGACACTGTTGTAAAATTTAAAAAAGAAAGCAATGTTGACGTTAAAGGCGCAATTTTTGCATTATTTTTAGACTTAGAAGTTTCAATAACAAATGCGAAGGTGTCCAAATCTATTAATAGGAATACACACTGCCTCCATTGCGTTTTTCTCATTTACAACAGTTCTCAATCAATGAAAGATTTATTTTTTTTTAGCATACTATAATAATATTTTAATTTGGAATATATTTAAGATTTTATTGCTATATATCCAAGGTAACAGCAAAGTTAACATCTTTTAACGTTTTTATTTCTAAATCAAAATGGATTGATGTAGCTTATGAATTTCTCCGTCACTGAAATGCTCCTTTTGTGTTTATTTTTGTCATCATTCCATTGTGACTACATCTGCGAACTCCTCATTTGCCCAGTTATTGGGCAGTGAGGCAACGGAGCGTTACTCGGGCGTAGTTAAGATGATCATTTTTTGTCTTGGTGCAACGGGTGTAAGCAGGGAGAGTAAACCTGGCGCACGGACGCCAGGCGTTGCGGTTTACGACAGGCGTAGCCGAGTAAATTACGCCCTGTTGGTGCATCCAGGCCCTGGTGCGTTAAAGTCACTGAATTCTTTTATATTATGTGTTGATTATAACCCCTGTTTTGTCAAATACTCTAACAAGAAGAATCGCTTATGCCTTTCCTTCTCAGCAGAATCAACACCTAGCACATAAAATATATGACCATGTATGAGAAACTGACATCCCGTCTTTAATGAAAAGTTACCTTAGAGCAACTTTGAGTATTACAGTTTATATCACTGGAGACCGACTCCTATTTGCAGCATGCCTATGTCTTTTCCTGTAAATGGAAAGGATAAGTTAATCGCTTTATCATTATCGTGCTGAACGAGATAAATCATAGTGAAGGCAAAATAATGTATGGGTCATACCACAAAAAAGGGAACATTTGAGTTCCGCCATTGACGCATACCTTTTATGTAATATCTGATCAATTGATTTTTTCACTTTTATATTCTTGTTTATTTCTCTCCATATTGGAGGGATCAAACAGCAAAAATAATTGTGCAAGTTAAAATAACGAAAGTATTGCATAAAACTTGTGCATCACTGGCGTGACTCAAATGTCCTCTTCCAGTATTTCATCTTTATCAAACATCAAGACATGCAAACCGCATTACTGTCATTTGAAACGTTCACCAGAGCTTCATTAACGCACAATTTGCGTATGCAGGGATTATCAATAAATCTATTAGCATTATTTGAGTATTTAGACAAACCACCAAAAGTCATTTAGAAGACGGAGGACTCTAAAATGGACACTCAAATTTTTACAGCTGATAATAGTGTTTGCTATGGTCTAGTTGAAGGGGCATTAGTTAATGCAGTAATATAAAATGGCCACAAAGCGTCGTAAATCAAAGAATAGAGGGCTACAATGCCATGATGGACAACACTTATCTTCATTTTATGGACTTCGTTTTGACGAAAGCCTTTATTGACGAGGCATCTTTGCGTCTTTTGTCTTTGTCAGACGTGGCGGTCTTCTTATTCGTTAACAATTTCTGGTATAAAACGACACATAAACCTTTTTTATTTTTTAATCAATTTACTTTTTTTTCGTTTGATAACTTTATTTTATATTTTGTTACTTATTTTTATTGCGCGCACGTGAAAGTATTTGTGTGCTTTGCTATACGACGCATCTGCTTAAAAATTTATCTGAACAAAAATCCCACGAGCATTATTTTCGTTTTAACCTCGTGGATCTGCTTTCTAATCCATCATCATTACACACTTAAAACTGTCCAAATAATTTCCTAAAATTTCCACAAAATAAGTTAACAGCCGTCACGCTCTGAATATCATCATCATCATTTCCCCGAAAATTATATTTTCTTTAACCAAATAAATTTTAATTTGCATAAACAGTCATCCTAGGGTCGACAATATTGCTCTCCGGTTCTTGTGTTGTGTTGCCCTTTTTGCATGGAGATATGTTCGTGTGCATGTGTCCATGAGAGATTGAGCTTGAGATTGATTTTAAAATGTCACAAAACCAAATTTGTTTCTCCAGGCACGCGGCCGTACCACTCCACGACGTACACCGGTAACAGCGCCGTCAGTATTCATAACCATGCTAACTACGACCGCACCATAGGGATGGGAGAGTTTGCCGCCGTCTTGAACGGGGTGGAGTTCCGGACCAGGCATAACGATTACAAGTTCGTCATGCCATGCCGGAGAAGCAAAGATTTTCACTGCACAGAGGATATCCCTTTCCCTGATGTGCCACCAGAGGTACTGTTGGCATCGTTTTCTAATTTTGCAACAGTGTCAGAATATTTCAAGTGTGAAATAGTCTGTTTAGTTGTAATACAGATTTTTATTAGTAGCAATCTTTAGTTATCTATCTATCCAATCTTCTATTAATTTATTTATGCATTTGTGTTCGTGTTTTGCTATGTTTGTATTTTTATTTTGTCGTCTCGTTTTTTTAAAATATGTGAATAAATTTATTTGTTTGTTTGATTGTTTGCTTTATTAATTAATTTATTTATCTATCTATTAATAATTATTATGATTCATTGCTTATTCGTTGTTTAATTACCAACCATGTCTTCATTCAGGTCAGGAATAAAGCCACGGTGCAGGAACAGATAGCGGAGATGAAGGAGTGGTTCAAAGCCTGGAAAAATCAAGACAAATCTCACAGAGATTACACTAAATACTTCAAAGCCAACCTTTGCTACTTAGAAGGAGCCTGGATGAAAAGTTCAGGTAAGGGAAAATTATCTGCGAAAAATAATGAAGTACTCAGAAAGCTGTGTCAGATGTAGAATCTGTGGGCCAGAATGTAACCAAATCCCCTATTCTTATTATCTATTATTTTGTTGTTTGTTTGTTTATTTCAAAAGAAAATATGTACTTAATGATATTAATTAAGCAAACAACATTAATTTGTGTCGCACTCAAATCACTTAGAACTGAAAGTCTTCGTATTTTTCACTCGCAGCACCTTTAGAAGAATCCTTCGACAGTGACCGCCACTTTTTGGACGCCACGGACTGGTTTGACCTGCACGAGAAGGCTCGCTTCAGCGCGTACTCTGGTCGCAAGGACAACCTTGAGAACTTTGCCTATCTTCCCGTCACCATTTCCGATCTCATCAACGGCACGATTCCCGAGCTTGCGCAGTGGAACTACCGGATATTATGTCATCCTCTGAAGAAGGACATACCGTTCAGCCACTTCCGGACCGTGGACGACCTTCATTCCAGAATGGCCTACAAATCCAGCATGGCGCTACAAACCGGGTCACGAAGAGCGAGGTAAGGCCAATTACGGAGTCTGTAACACTACATTTCAATAATTTTTATTTATCTATTTATAGATTTTCAGTATTGAATGAGGTTTAATAAATATTTTGTACAAGAAATAAATTTATCTTCTCATTCAACAATATCAGAAGATTTCATATTTGTAAAAATATGGATTAATTTTTGAAAAATATAATAAGTAATATAATTGAATGTACTGTATAATATAATAAAAACTATAAAAGTATAAATATAATTAATTGGATACACTTATAATTGTCTGGATCATCCATTAAAAAACTAAATTACAAAATATTTGAAAGGTTCCAACTAAACCCTGACAACCGCGGGTACTGGGGAGAAGAGAAGGCGTATCAGCGTAGTTTTCTGGACGAGCTGATGGAGCAGATCCCAGGCAAGGACAATTATCCAGCTAATATAACAGACGACATCTTTGGTTACACGGCCTTCACCTTGGACCCGGACGAAGACGGCAACGACCGCGTGCTGAATGCCGGTTACTACCATCGTTGGTTTAAAGTCGCTAAAAGGGTGTGTTAATTCATCTTTGTTTTTTTTTTCCAAAATTACTCTATCGTCTGTCGTTATCCAATCATTTCATTTTTATCCAAACTTTTAACATTTATATTGACCCATATTCATGACTTTTTCTTTAAAAATAAACTGCGTTCAAAAGTTTCCATTTTTGTGGTAAGTAAGTTAGAAACTCGTCCAACCATAACAAGGATTTTATTTATGCGTTTTTCCACTCGGTATTAGGGAGCAAACGGCTTAACACAGATGCATCGTAGCTACGCCGACCAGAACATCTTCATGGCTATGACAACACAAGAGAAAGTAGCCGGTCTAAGTATTAAAGATTGTAAACTAAGGAAGAAAAAGAGGAGAGGTAAGTAAAAAAAAAACAATTTTTATTCAATTTTTGACGATACAATTTTTTTCTATTTGGTCTCGGTATTCCATTCTGCCTACGAAAGCAGAAGCAAGGTTTGATATGTACTGTATAATAATAACATAAGGTACACATTTCTTCAACCAGTAACATTTTAAAACAGATATTGGAAACCGTATTCCTTTGAGAGCTAATAACTTAAATTAAGAATTGAATATAATAAAACTATGAATTAGCCTTAAAAGTGGACTTAAATTTTATACTGTGGGGATAAAGTTTTAAAAAATGGGTATTTGAGGAGGGATTTCAATTATATAAGAATGCAATTCAACAGTAAATTATCTGCATACGTTTTACGACAACAATTAAACCTCAGCTGAAAACAGTGCAGACCATCTCTAGAAATGATGTCTTGTGTTTGGACCTGTTCCTGTATTTCTAATTCGGTACTTTTAGTTTAAAATTTAAACGTTGTGCATTTATTGTTTCCTTCTAAACTGCCAGTTACATGCACATGCAAACGGAAGACTTGAGTTTCAGTTGTCCGGCAGAAAGGAAGTATGATTTTAGATTGATAGGTTGTATTTTGTAGTGCAAGACTGCGGCGGAGTAGAACAGAAGTGGACCTATTCTATCCCCCTGGAGATCGTGTATTCAACGCCTCAGCTTTCCTGGAACCCTTACAACCTGCACTTCAAAGGAGACGCCAAGTCCGACCTTGGGAAGACTGTGAGAGAGGGGCCAAACGGTAAGAACCGTGGGTGTAGAGAGGTGTCTGGTGAATTTTGGGCAGATTTAGTTGAACCAATTTAACCAGTATGCTGAAAGTCTTAAACTTCAAACCACCATTGCGGTTGGCTGATCCAGATGTTTTATGAAGACCATAAACTATGATCCGCTTATGCCCATTTACGCATTTATTTAAGCCCGGCTATAACCATTTTATGCACGGAAATGGATAATTTCGCCCCCAGATTTCACAATCGTATATTTTATCATATACTGCCGATCATCTACTATAATAATGCCTATATTTTTCTTTTCTGTTTTTAAAAGGGTCTGTCCGTAGTGGAAAGATGGAAGCCAACTTGGCATTTAATGGTACCAACGCTGCCCTATACTACCAAACTCCAGTAGAGTTCTACACCAACGAGGATAAGGACGCTGCAGACACCATGAGATATGGAGGCGTTGGAGTCTTGGACAGACAAGGTACAGTAATGATAAGAATTATGGTTATATTTTAACAATTTTAATTTAGATTAAGGTCAACGCCGTGAGTTATTATCTTTTCTTGGAGTCCTGTACAGACAAGGTGCAGTGATGAATAAAATTACAATTACACTTTAACAACTGAAGGTAACCTGTCACTTAGGCGTAGTCAGGCAAGCTACAGCAATGATTAGGATTACAGTTATACTTTAACCACTAAAATCTACTGTCGGGCCTACGCTTTGAGTTATAATCTACTCTTGGACCCCCTTCCCACAGATTTTAGATCGATCTATCCCCGTGGGGAGTCTCACTAGATTACTGTCAGCTTAGCCGGCTTAAATGTCTGTCCCGCCTACTAAAAGCTGTAAGGGGGGTAATTAACTTCCGTGCGCGGTCGGCTGGCAGCAATAGAGGTTGTCCGGGTTCTCAACGAGAAGACCAAGTTTCCCCGTGATTTTACGAGATCTGCCTTGAGGTGGGGTTAAAATATGGAGACCACAAGAAAGTAGAGCAGCTATTTCTTTACTTGAAAAATAGCTGAACTTACACATTTTTGAGCTACAGGCTTGTTCTTTTTTCACTTTAAAAGAAAAAGTGTTGATATAATATGTACGTACAACTGACATGTTGAATTTGCCAAGCTAAGAGCCGATGACGCTTGGAAAGCAAAATTCGCCCGGAGGACGTGCTACGCAGCAAAGGTCGCGTTAAACAGGCTACATCACCAGATGCTTGTGGTACAGGAAAATGACATTAGTTACCATGCCCGTTGACACGCATGCCTTTTAGATGAAAGTGGCTAGGATTGAATGAGAATCGGACGGATGATGCCCCGGCAGCTTCCAATTATTCATGTGGCCAATGTTAAACTTTGCCAGGTAAGGAAATATTTCTTAATTTATAATGAAGTGTATATCACATCTCTGTTAATATATTACTGATGTATGATACGTTTTGTCAGCTGATGCTTTTGAATCGTTTTATTCACAAACTAAAAAGGCCATCATTATCACTTTTAGTTTGAACTTCAATCTCTCAAAAAGCCAGTACTATATAGTGCTATGTTTAGTATCCGGCATGTCAAATTTGTTATTGTGAGTGAACATAAATTATTCGTTTTTTTTTTCAGTGGGGATGCCATATAAAACATGCTGTGGCTCTAGCATCATATTGGACATACCCGGTAAAGGGGGGCTGGATAACTTCACATGCAAACTCTGGGATAAAGATGGATCACATTGCTTGGCAAATGTAAACCAGTTTAAATTGACTTGAATCCTCTAGCTGCAGGGATGGATTTTTGAAGATCAAATGCCTTAGTGTACATACAAACTTAACAAACCTTGTTTATATAACAGGGGCAGTATTGTTATTCATTTTGAATAGGAATGATGGACTTTCACAACTATATTTAATCACCTTTATGGCCTTTGCAGAGATTCATTTGCAACCTTTTTGTCACTTTATGGGAGTGGCATGACTGTTTTGCTTTCAATGAGATCAATGTTGAAAGTAGGTCCATGTACATTCTACAAACATTGGACATTTGTAAATAAAGTAACCCAGTGCTGCCGAGGGCTTAATTGCTTCATTCTTAGGTTATCATAATTACTAAATTTAAATTATTAACTCCAGCGTATTGCAATATAAAATTTCCTACTTAAATTACTTAAATTTCCAATTTATATTAATGTCTTTGGGATTTTAAAGAGATGCTTGTCTAAACATGCCAGTGGATGCAAAATTAATATTAAATATATTGTTCATTTTTGATTGTTCTTCATTGACTAGTCATTTCATGAGATCCGTTTGAACAACAAAAGCTTTATAACTGCAAATAATTTTTCTTTATAAATGTTTTACTATTAAACTTTATTTATAAAGAAGTAAAATAAAATCATTTGACATTTCATTTACTGATGGATGGCATATCAGAACATTAGACTTGCCTGCATCTTTGTTTTAATTTTACTAAATTTATAGTAACTAATTCAAAAGGCTCAAGTTTGATCATAAAGTTAATTTTCTTTATTTATTTACTTATGAAAATGATGCTATAGAAACTAATGGATAACATTCACAAATTGTAAGTTTCATTGTGATTAGATCCGACTTAAATGACAGGAAAATGGACACATAAGTTGAAATTTTCACAAAATCATCGCATTTTATTGAAAGTTATACACAAATGCAACAAATAAACACATCACAGGCGAACTTGTATTTGTGATTTGAGTAAATGATATGAAAAACAGGTATCATATAGTTATTTTAAAAAAGTCACAACAGTAACATAAGAATGATACTAGCAAGAAAAATAATTTTCTTCATAAAATCACTAGTGCAGTACAATACATAGGCCTATATATATATTCATAAAACCAAATATTTCATTTTAAAGTAATAAAGAAGATACCTGATACTGTAAGTGACACCCAGACAAAATGCTATCTGTTAGCGTAATTCGATCCAAAGTTAGCAGGCCTACAATAGGGTCTGGGAATGGTTTCTTGGAGTCCTGGACAGACAAGGTAGAATGATGATTAAAATTACTGTTATCCTTGAGTTTGTTCTTTTTTACATATTCGACATCTGAACATAAATTTTAGTCCATGAAATCTGATGGTCTTGACGTACCATACAGACAAGGTGTAAATTGAGCACACTTTTTTCTAGGCGAAGTAAAATCGGTAGATGCCTCTGGTTTTCGAATTGAACTTAACATAAATGGTGTTGGTGAAATTCGTCAGAGATGGCCTATAATGCCCGTGTCGGTAGAGGGCAGCACCATCATGAAGGAGATCGAGGCACTAAAGGTATTATTTATTTATTTATTTTGATTGGGATACTTTGGAAAGTAGTTTTTTAAGACTTTGTCATGCACGACTTCCAACGGTTCTTTGTTTCTTTTGCTAAGTATCTCTGTAAGCTGAATGATTTCAAAACAGTGGTATTAATATATGGATTTTAATTTTTGACAGCGTCTTAAACAAGACATTACCTATGACAAATATTTCTGCAATTTTCACCCATCCTTTCTTAATCTTCTTTCCATTTTCAAATATATGTGTGCTTTTCCCTGTCCATATAATTTATTATTTTCACGCGGTGAAAACTTCACCATTTATTTATTCGTTTAATTATGTTTATAGGACATGGTCATGGAGCAGCGGAAGTACATCAGCTTGTACCGTGAATTACCGATTGCCCTGTCCTCTGATAATGCCACGGAATATGCTCCAACTCTGCGCGACATCGAGCTCGAAACAACGGTCGCCACGGAGGACCCGCCTGGCCCCCATACCCACATGTAAGTCTCAAACCCCCCCTCTACCCACCCCTGCCAACGGAGGTTATATGTTTAACAGCGTTGGTTTTTGGATGAGCTATTTGTATATTCTGCACTATATTTGTCGAAATTTTCTGAAATGACAGTTACTTAGGAGATAATGGGGGGAAAATAATTTTAACTAAATTTGGATTTCCTTATTATTTTCAGAGAATTTTAACTGCTTTATTGCTGGGGAGGAGGGGTACACCCTTGGGGGCCTCTAGTTAAAACATTTTATAACGTTGCGTTTTTAATGTACATTCATAAGTCAGGAAAGGGGTTAGTGTTAAAATCGTTTCAAATTAACACGCGCTCGTTTTTAATAGGTAAAAAAAAAAACATTGTAACTTTTGTATTGAAGGGTACGACTGACTGCTGACCACATCAAAATCATGAAAGAAGATGGCCGCGCCGTCAATGTAATGACGTCAACAGACTTTGGGCATTTTCACCAGCTGAGGGTCAGATACGTTAAACGATGTGACTGCTTCCGCATATCTAAGTAAGTATAGCGAGCTTTATAAATTACTCACTTAATTTTTTTTCACTGGGAGCGTAGTCTACGAGTGATTGAATTTTACTCATCTTCTAGTAAAAATAAGTTGAAACTAGTAGTTTGATGCAGCTGTGTTTTGATATTAAATGTCCACAAAAGAGAATGAACTTATTGAAAAGAACATCAGGGTAAATGTGTCATAGTTAACAATGACGATGTTATAATTTCTGGTATATCTTCTCGACTACGCCTATAGCCGAGTTTATTATTATTATTATTATTATTATTATTATTATTATTATTGTGTTAGGTGTGACAACCAAAGAGGTGATTGCTGGGACGGACACTCAGTGTGGCTCACCCCTACGGCAGGCTAATAAATGCGCATGCGTACAGACACCGGCTAGTTCCTGAAGGTTGTCAGACAATCTGCAACATAGAAACAGTTCATGAATATTCCAGACACCAAATGTTTACCTTATAGTTTTATGTGTAATAGAAGATCATGTGATGATTTTATTTTATTTATCTATTCATCTTTTATGGGGGTAGCTTGGAAATGGAGTTGGCAAGCACAAGTGTGGGATGATGTTTTATTTGTAGTTTATTTAATATTTGGTTGCATCCATTGTCAGTCATTGCACGCTAGTAAACCAGTTTGAATAAACCCAGCTCTTACAAACTGTCTTCACTGTTGTTAATATAATGTGGTGCTCAAAAGAAGGCTTTGAAACCCTTTGAATAAAACATGATGCTGTGGTTTCCCGCTCGGCTTTCAAAGAGGATCCCATTGGGTATTTTTGCTACCCTATATTGCGTGAAACGTTCATCTTTTTTAGCTTGATCCATGTACCACCCCCTTCCCGTGACATGTAAATGCGGCTTTATTTAACCTCGTCCTTCGGCAAAGAAGTCATTATACCCGGTGATTCGTGATTTACAACTCGCCGGACTTGCATCTTCAATGAGATGCAATCTTCGCATTATATAAACACCCCCATGTAAGGGGGGGGGGGGTCGGCAATTTCACCACTCTGGCGTTGCTGTTGCATCATTGAAATTTGCAAAGGGAGGGGGGGAAGGAATTTGTTTTCACTTTAAACTTTACCTCTGATTTTGGTATTCTTTAACTCCGGTGCGTCGTATTGATTGTGGAACTGCGGGTACCTGCTTATGTAGGCCTACATGTAGCACAGAGGCAAATTTTGGTGTTACGACAGAAAATTATATGTTTTTCAAGTCTTTTCAATGAATCGAAACAAATATTAATTCGTAACTGACTGACCGTGATGATAATGAAATTTCCATAAATTTCTGGTAAATATCGACATTCATTTTGTTGTTGATGTTAATTGTCATGGTGAGATGACTTCATATCTTTACAGTTTCAATTTTTACTCTGCTACATGTAACTTTACTATCTGCAGAACTTATGTTTTTTATTATAATGCCCTACATGTATATAATAAAACACACTAACTAATTCGCGGAAGAATTGCAGCGGGGATCCTAAAATAGCTATAAATATCAGATCTACGGTATGTCGTGGAGAATAAAAGCATAAGAGGGATATTTGTGCCAAAATAATGCACATTTGTCATAAATGTCATACTAAGATATAGAAATGCCATTCTGTGTGTTTGTAACTCAAGTGCCACGTTGTTCGTCTATTTCTGAACACACTGGCATCGCACACAGACTCTGTGATAAGTGCTCAGCCCGTTGTCAAGTAGTGTTAGTTCATGGTAACAAGCGTCTGGCATGTGCAGAGAAGTTTATTGTAATATATATTGTTCTTATTGTTACATTATTAAATCTAACTCTGTATCCAAGTAGTAACTATACTGTACCAAGTCAGGTACTGATGATGTGCAGAGGTCATATATTCCAGAATAAGCCATTACCTCTAATTTATAACTTTAATATTGTTTAATATGTTATTCATGAAAGAGTTCATGAAAGATAATTTGTTAAATCGTGATCTAATTCTTTTTATATTCAAATAATTGAATAATGTGGGTAAAATTGGTCTTCCACTTCTTATTTGCATTTTTTCTTTACTACAAGATTATTTTGGAACAGCTGCAGCATTAAAATTTAAAATAAATAGCAACCTGAAAGAAGAATTTTGCATTATTATTAAATTATGATAGGAATTTTGGATTAAGAGATTAGTTAAATACTGAGTAGTGATATTGCCAGTCAATTTATGTAGAATCTGATAATATGATTGAAAATACTGATTGAATTCTTGGCCTTGCACTGGGCAGTTTCACATTTGTGCCAAGTGCTTTTTTTGGACTCCATTGTACAGTGGTAAAAGTTCTTCAATTGCCATGAAAGTTTTTAATCAGACTCTGTATGGTGCTGGTATCTGCTGGTGCTATCGGCAACGAATTAGTTTGCCTTTGTTTCTGAGTGAATCTACCGTCTAAAATCACTATTTCTGAAAATATGTGCGTTTTGCTGAGGGTAGGCTAGGCAATACACGGCAAACTTCTTAGTACGTGTGTACAACAGAATTTATTTAAAAACCCTAACGATATTTGGTCAGGAGTTGCTTGAAGCATAGCACAGCGTTGCTGTCTATCGGCATCAGGCCGTAAGTTAGTCAATTATCACGAATTACCCACGAATCGCGAACCCATTCATTTTCCTATGGCAATCTAGCAACTCATTAAAAGTGCACGCATGCGCAGTGGGCTAAGCGTGACGTCATGCAGTGCATTTCTGGGGATGGCCAATTGCAAAATTAAAATATCACCGTGGGAAAAAAGGATGAGATAATGACATTAAAGCATTATGTGAACATTTATAAAAAAAAACATTTAAATTATGGTGCTATAGAAGGAGTTTAGTATTCCATCTGCATCAGTTGTGTCACGTTAAAAAATAATAATTTTCTTAGTATGTTGCTATGTACATGCAGATGGCTTAAAACGCAATAAAACGACCTTGAAGTTTGGTCAAATACAACTGTCTCAGTCGTACCACGTAAATAAACCATTAATTAATGCATTGAAGGAATCCCGTGTGGATCAGTGTCACATACACGTTTTCAAAGTGCCCTCTAGCTGCGCATTATTTATCAGCTGCAGCGTGTAGCACATACGAGTCAGGTGTGACGTCACTAAAACGGAGAGAGACGAGCGTAGCCGAATGAATGTTATCGTACACAGTTTGATATTCCTGATCACACAGGACCCTCGATACAGCGGTGGAACTGCAGCTTGTTATTATTTTACGTTGGCATCCCACATTTTAAATGTACCATATCACCTTGAACTGTAATAATATTCAACTGCATATTTTAACTGTGTATATAAACGGCAACACGTAAGGAGCGTAGGGCTATTTCATATCTGCTGCCGTTGCTAGTGCATCATTGAAATTTGCGAGGTGAGCTGGTTTCACTTTTTTCTTCGATTTGCTTGTATTTTTTTTTTCTCTGAGCATGATTTTAACTGTGAACAACGAATAAGGGCACATGCCCAATGCTACTATTGGACTCTCGCTGAATGTAAACCGTGTGACAGATTACCACGCCTCCCCTTGTTTCCAACAAACTCGTATGATAACAGGGGTGGGTTAAGGCCGTCATCTGGGTCTTCCGGAAGACGGTCAGATGTTCAAGTTTACTTTGACGGGTATCTATTTTTTCTGACGGAAGACGGTCAAAAATGGAGGATGGATCAACAAAGATAATTTTGAAGACTGTCAGAAAATATCTCTGGATCCGCCCCTGAATAATAGAATAAGGGTATATGCACAATGAAACTACTTAGATCGGTCCATCTCTTCAGAGACTCTCGCTGAATGCAATCTTTGTAACAGGTAACCACGCCTCCCCTTGTTTCCAACAAACTCGTATGATAACAGGGGTGGGTTAAGGCCGTGAACAACTAATAAGGGCACATGCCCAATCTTACTATCGGTCTACGAAGATAAACCTCTTTAGGGACTCTCGCTGAATGCAATCCTTGTAACAGGTAACCACGCCTCCCCTTGTTTCCAACAAACTCGTATTATAACCAGCTTTTCTATATTCTACTCAACTCCAGGAGGAAGCGAGTTAATCTGTTAAATTGATTGCATTCAACGAGTCCGGCGGAGTGAGATAGATCTACTTAGTTCCAACGTGAAAAGGGAAAACGGTGATTACTTTTCAAAATATACATGTATTCTTTGAAATGGTAGTTCTCATAAATTTCCCAGTTTACACTTGTTCTTAACTTTTCCTCTTTTACGTTTTTTTTTTTTTTTTTCACTTGAGTTTGGGCTGTGAAAAGAATCATATAATCTCTACGTTATTCAAGAAATAAAAATGCTTTTTTAATTTTTTACCTTATTTTTTGTCTGGATTATTTATCTTAGACACACGAATTTAGTGTCTTCATCATCTGTAATTTGTATTTTAAACTATTTTGTTTCAGATATTTCCCTGGTACCATGTCGCCCAAAGTCGTAATATTAGCGTTCGCAATTCTGGTGGCTACATTCGTCCATGGTCCGAGTGAAGCGTTTCTATACGTAAGTTTCTGCTAAAGACAGCAGTGTTCAGAAAGTCCATACCATATACTGCTTAAGTTGTAGCTAGATCAGGTACGCGCGTGATTTCAATCAAGTTTTCTTAATTCCTCTGGAACTCTTCACTGTTAATTAAGTGTCCTGCACTATAACTGCCGTCATCCGAATTAGAGACGTGTTGGGATCGCATGTTCTTAATGCAATAATGTTCTGTCAGACGAAATTATTTCTCATACAATATGTATAAATTCATCAAGGTACTTTTAATGTAGCAACCACATATTTCGTGTCCAGGCGCCAATAAAGCCTTTGTGTTACTGGATTTGTCAACCTCAACCTATCGGTGACCCCCTGGTCTGTGACCGCTGCCACTACCAAGTGGGCACATGTGTGTCCTTCAACTTCCCGAAATGCTATGTTACTGGACGAAACTGTGCTAGAAGCAACTGGTACGCCATCAAGTGCTGCCCTCATCACCACTGTTAGCTAGAAAGAAACCCACGTGTTCGAAATTCCATTAGAGGTCGCCACACAGTGGAGCCTTTTAAACTTTATCATGCATTACATCGAATCTGGTATTGCGGACAACTGCAGAGGCAGTGAAATAAAATGATTTGAAAAAAAAACAAACAAATGTTTGACAGATGTTTACAATGAAACAAAACAAATTTGATTCATAAAACACTGACCCTGATGAAAATAAAATCCCCAATATTTTCTAGTATAGTTTCGCTTTGTTATTATTCTTTCTTTCTTTCTTTCTTTATTTTTTTATTATTATTATTATTATATTTATTTTATTTTATTTTATTTTATTTTATTGAGATCGTGCTGCAGACGGTTTAAAGAAAGACGTCTCAAACAGCACATTCTCTATATCGCGTAAGAACTGCAGCAGCTTCATGCCTTTGCAGCTTCGATATGGCGATCTAATAAGAGGCAAATTGTTTGTATCTATATGAAGCATGTTTTATTATAAAATGGTATGACTTAAATAGTGATAAAATATATAAATAGATGGGATCAATTGGATTAAGTATCATTACAAGATGGTATTATAATAATCTCTTTACGTCACTTTTCCACTTGTATCTTACGTTGATAATGGAAATAAACTGGTATGATATATACAAGTAGATTAATTGAAACGGAATAAAATGACATTCTTTGACGAAGAAAACAAAACATCCGCTCGTGATTCAGTTGTGCCATCTAAAGAGATCAAGTGTGTATCTCAGTCAGTTCCAAAATATCCTGTAGCTGCAGTTTGTAGCGCGTGAGATGTAGGTGTGAAAGCGTTCAGAAAACTTAACAGGGGGTATATTTTTAGTGGTAGTTGCATCAGGTGGAATAACTTTTAATTCCTCTGTAACTCTTGAACAAAGTGGCCTTAACTGTGGATGGCGGGCCGAATAACCCCGCTTTGACAACAAAGTTGATCCGCGGATCAAATATGGCCGACCCATTTGAAAGCTTGCCGGGTGATCCCCGGGGGGGGGGGGTGAATCTTTTCAATGCCTTCTAGGGGATCATGCAGGAAACTTTCAAGGTTAGTCCGCGGATCAAACTGTTCAGAATGCACCCTGAGACAATTGGTAAGATATCATCTTGATGCAGTAAATTACGTCAAATAAAATAAACCCTAAGTCGATAAGTATAATCGATCGTCAAGTAACTTTTATTACCTACCTCCGCCAAGGAGGTAATGTTTTCACCCCTGTCTGTCTGTTTGTTTGTTTGTCATCAACATAACTCAAAACGTTATGGACCGATTTTGATGAAATTTTCAGGGTCGGAAATGGGTTTACTTAGAAGTGATTAGTTTTTGGTGGAGATCCGGATCAATAATCAATCAATACTCAATAATAATAAAAAATCGCTGCCTTGGCGGAGGTCTGAGCTCTCGGAGTGCTTTTCTAGTTGCAGCTAGATTTCTTCTCTTCTTCCATGTAGACATATTCCGTTTTACTAAATAAAAGACATTTGCAGTGAATAGGAAATTTAAATATAAAAATTCATGGAATCGTACCTACATGTATCATATCTACAGGTGGCTCCTTTATGCTTCTGAAAATGTAAACTCTTCCCGATCGGCAACCCCTTGGTCTGCGGCAGACGAGAGCACCAACAGGAAAACGAAGGACAGGAAAATAAATGTTTTACAAGTGTTTTCAACGAACCGAAACAAACATTGACTCTTAAATAGTTGACCCTCAAGATAATAAAATTTCCAAAATTTTCTGGTAAATATCGACATCCGTTTTCTTGTTGATGTTTATTGTCATGGTGAGGTGACGTCATATCTTTACAGTTTCAGTATTCTCTCTGCTACATGTTACTTCACTATCTGCAGAACTTATGTTTTTTAATATAATGCCCCATGTAATAAGACACTATCGGAAGAATTGCAGCGGGAATCTTAAAGTAGCTATAAATCTCAGGTCTTTTTCATGGAGAATAAAATCATAAGAGGGATTTCTGTGCCAAAATAATGCACCTTTGTCATAAATGTCATACTACAGTGCCGCCGGAATGTCCCCTTACCAAATGGCCGTATGGTTTCTCAACCCTGCCCCATATGGTCTAACAATAGAGGCCGTAGGGGAATCCCCAAGCAATCCTTATCGGACACCCAAATTAGTCGGTTCAACGAACACGGTCTGTCCCTTCTTAATTGCCTCACTTAAGGTTTCTATTATAGCTGATGCAAAGAGATTGCTATCGACACGAGCAAATAATACCGGTTATGTATCAACTGCAACAGAAGACTCGAGTAAAGGCAAGTCGAATATTAGAACAAAACTCTGAAGAACAAATCAGGCTTAGTTTTAAAACACGTATAATAATTTTATTTGATGATAATAAGTCACGATCAACAAAAGCGTAGTTAAAATGGAAAATTATAAATAGCTAATACATCAAATAAATATCAATGTCTTATTACCTTTATGACATGTGTTGCTAGTTTAGTAGCCTGATGCACGACCTTCTCTTTGTCGTATTTCTTTAACACATAGTAAATGGCTTGTCGCGACACTTTATGGCCTTCATTTTCCATTTGTGCGGTTATGTTTTTAATTCGCACCCCTTGTTCTCGGAGGGCGATGATACGCTGACGCACGTAATCACTAAGAGGCATCTTGGAATTGTGATGATTTGGAAAATCTGAGTGTCGATTTATACCGTTCACTTGGCAGGTGACACGATGGCACAGAAATCAGTGACATAAACATGTCATATTATACAAAATACTTATTGGCCATTTAGGAAGTCCAGATACACAAACAATCCTGTTGACACGTGTCAGTTGATTTAGAATTATGTGCAATTGATTAGTTTGGATTGAAGAGCGTCATCGCAATGTTAACATTAATTTTAGACGACGCGTGTCACACAGTAGTGATTATGTAATAGTCAGGGCTTAATCACTGTGTTTACCCAGCATGAATAAAGCTAACCTGAACTGATTGTTAATTAATGTGAGATGACACGTGCCAACCAGTGAAGTTAGCCCTAGAGATTGTAATCCAGTTTTATAAATTAATTTGTTTTGATGCTTTTTGTCCTACAGAATCAAGGAATCAGTCTTTCGGCCGGCCACCCGTCGCCTTGTCAAATAAAGAAATATTCGAAATTCGACAACGGGCCAGTTCCCCAGGCAACTTTTGCGTTCAGTTGATGGGAAGGTTGTTTACGATTGATGAACGAATACGAAAGGACAGAAATGTTACGGGTGTAGATGGGAGAGATCCTATATGCAAATATAGACAGAACTATATTAAAGATATGGCTAACAAAATGTTTATCACTGAGACAACTGACAAGTCTTTTTGGAAAAAATGCATTTCGTCTATGAACAAAGCTAATAGACAAAGGACATACTACAAAAATAAATTTCAATCTTGTTAATAATATGTATATAGCAAAGACAGTTTGAAGCCTAATAAATATTACGTGTGCAAGTACGAGTAGTGTTTTATTTGATCTTTAATAAATTCATAAATTCATTTATTAAACTCTATGTAAATTCAATCAATTCCTAGCTACAATGTACACGAAAATTGCTGTCATCACCGAATCTTTTTGGTAAAGCGACTTTTAAAAATCACTGTTGGCAAGTACTTATACTTAAAATCTCCGTATCAGAGTAGAGTGATCAAAGTAGAGTGAAGCCACCGCGCATTAAAGGTCAATTAACGCTTAGACGAACACTTAATTGCAACCACGCTCACCTGCGATCTTTATCTCAGCGAGCTAGGGTTAGGCTCTTTTGTTAGCAGAAAGTTTGTCACGATAATTGCACGACGGGCAGGGTATGGAACTATTGTTAACAGAAACCAAACAGCGTATGGATGACAATGTTATTTCCATAGTTACCGAGCCAGGCCGTCCGTACAACCAGCAGCGACCCGGAGGGTAAGTAATGGGACATTCCGGCGGTACTGTAAGACCCCATTCCCATAGATTTTAGATCGATCTATCCCTGTGGGGAGTCTCACTAGATTACTGTCAGCTTAGCCGGCTTGAGCGTCTGTCCCGCCAACTAAAAGCTGTAAAGGGGTAATAAACTATGGTGCGCGCTCAGCTGACTGCAATTAAGCGTGAACCCCCAGGGAGTTAGGTCGATCTAAATCTTAATCTCTGGATTGATCTAAATCTCGGGGAATGCACCCTAAGATATAGATATGCCATTCAGTGTGTGTTTGTAATTCAAGTGCCACGTTGTTCGTCTCTTTCTGAACACATTGACTTGTGTTAACCACATAGTCGACCCTTTTTCCACGTTTTAAAGGGAAAATGACACCTTTTTGATGGTGGGATTCACATCATGCGTTTTGTAGATGAATATTGACCTTGAGTGAAGGTATATAAGCGATTAATTAGTAAAGTACCTTGGGTTTTTATGGGGAACAGACTGAACAAAGCTTAAAGAGATAATAACTCTTCGTTTTGGCCAAAAATGAATTTTCCTGGAGTAAACAACAATTTTCCCATACTTACCAATGGTTAACAAATCCATTTTTACATTCAAAATTAGTCCCTGTTTTTTTTTTCTGAAAAGTTTGGTTTTTTGTTAAAATCTCTTAAGAGATTATAACAGAGTATAGCCATCAGTGGAGGTCACGTGGTCTGAAGACAAGCTCAGATATCAGAATAATAGCTATAACTGCTGTTTTTGTCGTAAAACAGGATATATTATGTTTCTATGAGTTATTCACAATGTTTTTATTGTGACATATAGACCTCACACGAAGAGTTATTATCCCTTTAAGAACACATGAATACCGTATTATATCCTAATATCGGCAAAGGCAAAATAAAATGCTGCAAGGGTAGAACATTTATTCTCACCTTATTTCGTGACCATGTGTATAATGATTTCTATGCTGCTTGGCGGGGATTGCACTTAAAACAATATAATAAAAGAAACAAATAATAATACAAGATTTGGCCAATTGCAAAATTAAAATATCGCCGTGGGAATAAAAGACGAGATAATTACATCAAAGGATTATGTGAACATTAAAAAAAGCAATTTAAATTATAGTCCTAAAGAAGGAGTTTAGTATTTCATCGGCATCAGTTGTGTCACGTTAAAAAAGAATAATTGGCTTCGTATGTATACATGCAGATGGTTTGAAACGCAATAAATTAACATTGAAGCTCGGCCAAACACAACTATCTCAGTCGTGCCACGTACACAAAGCATTCATTAATACATTGAAGGAAACACGTGTGGATCAGTGTCACGTACACGTTTCCTATTTATCAGCTGCAACGTGTAGCACATACGAGTCAGGTGTGACGTCACTTAAACGGTGAGAGACGAGTGTAGCCGAATGAATGTTATTGTACACAGTTTGATATTCCTGATCACGCAGGACCTTCAATACAGCGGTGGAGCTGCAGCTTGTTGTTTGACGTTGACATCCCACATTTTAAATGTACCAGATCTCCTTGAACTGCAATGATGTTCAACTGCATATTTTAACTGTGTATATAAACAGCAACACGTAAGGAGCGTAGGGGTATTTCATATCTGCTGCCGTTGCTAGTGTATCAATGAAATTTGCGAGGTGAGCTGGTTTCACTTTCTTTCTTTGATTTGCTTGAATTTTTTCTCTGAGCATGATTTTAACCGTGAACAACGAATAAGGGCACATGCCCAATGTTACTATTGGTCTACGAAGATAAACCTCTTCAGGGACTCTCGCTGAATGCAAACCGTGTGACAGATAACCACGCCTCCCCTTGTTTCCAAAGAACTCGTATAATAACAGGGGCGGGTTTAGGCCGTCATCTGGGTCTTCCGGAAGACGGTCAGATTTTCAAGTTTACTTATTTTTTCTGACGGAAGACGGTCAAAAATGGAGGATGGATCAAGTTCATCAACAAAGATGATTTTGAAGACTGTCAGAAAATATCTCTGGATCGGCCCCTGAATGACCAGCTTTTCTGTATTCTACTCAATTCCAGGAGGAACCGAGTTAATCTGTTAAATTGATGACATTCAACAAGTCCAGTGGAATTGGACAGATCTACGTAGGTCCATCGTGAAGAAGGAAAGCGGTGTTTACTTTTTAAATTATCTTCTTTGCATTGGTAGTGCTCATTTCCCAGATTACACTTTTTCTTTCATTTGATTTTGGGCTGTGAAAAGAATCATGTAATCTCTACGTAATTCAAGAAATAAATGCTTTTGATTTTTTTTCCTAATTTTTTTTTTCTGAATTATTTATCTTAGCCACACGAATTTAGTGTCGTCATTATCTATAATTTGTATTTTAAACTATTTTGTTTCAGATATTTCCCTGGTACCATGTCGCCCAGAATCGTAATATTAGCGTTCGCAATTCTGGTAGCTACATTCGTCCATGGCCCGAGTGAAGCGTTTCTATACGTAAGTTTCTGCTTAAGACAGCTGTGTTCAGAAAGTCCATACCACACACTGCTTTAGTTGTAGCTAGATAAGGTACACGCATGATTGCAACCAAGTTTTCTTAATTCCTCTGAAACTCTTCACTGCTAATTAAGTGTCCTGCACTGTAACTGCGGCCGCCCAAATTAAGACGTGTTGGGGTCGCATGTTCTTTATGCAATAATATTCTGTCAGATAAAATAATTTATCAAATAAAAAGTATAAAATCATGGAGACGCTTTAAATGTAGCAACCACCTCTTTCGTTTCCAGGCGACAATACAGCCGTTGCCTATATGCTACTGGATTTGTCAACCTAACCCTGTGGGTGACCCCCTAGTCTGTGACCGCTGCTTCTACCAAGTTGGGACATGTGTGTCCTTCAACTTCCCGAAATGCTATGTTACTGGACGGAACTGTGCTAGAAGCAACTGGTACGCCATCAAGTGCTGCCATCATCACCACTGTTAGCTAGAAAGAAACCCACTGTTAAGAAAGAAACATTACCAACGTGTTCGAAATTTCATTAGAGGTCGCCACACAGTGGAGCCTTTTAAACTTTATCGTGCATTACATCGAATCTGGTATTGCGGACAACTGCAGAGGCAGTGAAATATAATGATTTGAAAAAAAAACCCGAAAAATAACCAACAAACGTTTGACAGATGTTCACAATAAAACAAAAAATCTAGGTTCATAAAATACTGACCCTGATGAAAATAAAATTCCAATATTTTCTTGTATAGTTTGGCTTTGTTGTTGTTGTTGTTTTTTTTTTTTTCATTTTGAAATCATGCGCAGACGGTTTATAAAAAGATGTCTTATCGAATAGCACACTCTCTACATCGCGTAAGAACTGCAGGAGGGATCTTAAATAGAGCTCTACATACCTTTGCAGCTTCGATATGGCGATCTAATAACAGACAAATTGCTTGTATCTATATAAAACAGGTTTTATTATTAAAATGGTATGGCTCAGATAGTGATAAAATATATAAATAAATCAAAAAGATTAAGTATGTATTACAGATGGTATTCTAATAATCTCGGTACAGCACTTTTCCACTCGGAGGTGTCTTACGTTGATAATGGAAATAATTTGGCGTGATATATAGGTTAATTGAAAATAAAATGACCTTCATCTGTGACGAAGAAAAAAAAAACACCCGCTTATGATACAGTTGTGCCATGTAAAGAGATCAAGTGTGTATCTCTGTCACGTTTACAGTTCCAAAATATCCTATAGCTGCAGTTTGTAGCGCGTGAGATGTAGGTGTGACAGTGTTCAGAAAACTTAACAGGGGGTATATTTTTAGTGGTAGTTGCATCAGATGGAATAACTTTTAATCCCTCTGTAACTCTTGAACATAGTGGCCTTAACTGTGGATGGCGGGCCGAATAAGCCTGCTTTGACAACAAAGTTGATCCGCGGATCAAATATGGCCGACCCATTTGAAAGCTTGCCGGGTGATCCCCGGGGGGAATCTTTTCAATGTCTTCTAGGGGATCATGCAGGAAACTTTCAAGGTTAGTCCGCGGATCAAACTGTTCAGAATGCACCCTGAGACAATTGGTAAGATATCATCGTGATGCAGTAAATTACGTCAAATAAAATAAACCCTAAGTCGATAAGTATAATCGATCGTCAAGTAACTTTTATTACCTACCTCCGCCAAGGAGGTAATGTTTTCACCCCTGTCTATTTGTCTGTCTGTTTGTTTGTTTGTCATCAACATAACTCAAAAAGTTATGGACCGATTTTGATAAAATTTTCAGGGTCGGAAATGGGTTAACTTAGAAGTGATTAGTTTTTGATGGAGATCCGGATCAATAATCAATCAATAATCAATAATAATAAAAAATCGCTGCCTTGGCGGAGGTCTGCGCTCTCGGAGTGCTTTTCTAGTTGCAGCTATATTTTTTTTTTCTCTTCTTCCATGTAGACATATTCCGTTTTACTAAATAAAAGACATTCGCAGTGAATAGGAAATTTAAATATAAAAATTCATGGAATCGTACCTACATGTATCATATCTACAGGTGGCTCCTTTATGCTGCTGAAAATGTCAGCTCTTCCCGATCGGCAACCCCTTGGTCTGCGGCAGACGAGAGCACCAACAGGAAAACGAAGGACAGGAAAATAAATGTTTTACAAGTGTTTTCAACGAACCGAAACAAACATTGACTCTTAAATAGTTGACCCTCATGATAATAAAATTTCCAAAATTTTCTGGTAAATATCGACATTCATTTTGTTGTTGATGTTAATTGTCATGGTGAGGTGACGTCATATCTTTACAGTTTCAATATTTATTCTGCTACATGTTACTTCACTATCTGCAGAACTTATGTTTTTTATTATAATGCCCATGTAATAAGACACTATCGGAAGAATTGCAGCGGGAATCTTAAAATAGCTATAAATCTCAGGTCTTTGTCATGGAGAATAAAAGCATAGGAAGAGTTTTTGTGCCAAAATAATGCACTTTTGTCATTAATGCCATGCTAAGATTTTCAGTGTCACGTAGTTAGTCTCTCTTTGACTTCTATTATAATGGACCTTTTTTAACGTTGGAAAAGGGAAATAGCAGCCTTTTGATGGTGGAATACACATCATGCGTTTCGTAGACGAACATTAACCTTGAGTGAAAATATATTCCACCGATTTAATAGTGGGGTACCATGGGTGTTTATGAGGAAAATACTGAACAAATCTCATCTCCTGGTCAAGAACACACGAATACCGTTTTACATTCTGATGTCGGTAAAGGCAAATGTGAATTATGATTTCAATGCTGCGTGGTGGGGATTGCACTAGACATCAAAATAATAAAATACACCAAAAAGTCCTACAGGATTGGGCCAATTGCAAAATTAGAATATCGCCGTGGGGAAGAAAGGATGAAATAAGTACATCAAAGCATTATGTGAAAAATTTAAAAAATGCAATTTAAATTATGGTCTTAAAGAAGGAGTTTTAGTACTTCATCTGCATCAGTTGTGCCACGTTAAAAAGGAATAATTTGCTGAAGTACGTTTGCATTTGCATGCAGATAGTTAGAAGCGCAATAAAATGACCTTGGAGCTTGGCCAAACACAAACGCGCCACGTAAACAAAGCATTAATTAATACATTAAAGGAATCCCGTGTAGATCAGTGTCACGTACACGTTTCCAAAATATCCTGTAGCACCGCATGATTTATCAGCTGCAGCGTGTAGCACATACGAGTCAGGTGTGACGTCGCTGAAACGGAGAATACCGAATGTAACCTAATGAATGTTATCGTATACAGTTACATATTCCTGATCACACAGGACCCTAAATACAGCGGTGGAACTGCAGCTTGTTATTATTTTACGTTGGAACATCCCACATTTTAGATTTACCAGATCACCTTGAACTGTAATAATATTCAACTGCATATTTTAACTGTGTATATAAACGGCAACACGTAAGGAGCGTAGTGCAATTTCATATCTGCTGCCGTTGCTGGTGCATCATTGAAATTTGCGAGGTGAGCTATTTTCATTTTTTTTTTCGATTTGCTTGTATTTTTTCTCTGAGGAGTATTTTAACCGTGAACAATGCCCAAGGGCCCATGCCCAATGATACTATTGGATACTGTTAGTCCATCTCTTCAGGGACTCTCGCTGAATGCAACAGATTACTACGCCACCTCTGGTTTCCAACGTTCTCGTTTATCATCTTTTCTGTATTCAAACCAACGCCAGGAGGAAGGGTGTTAATCTGTTAAATTGATTCCACTCAACGAGGTTCCCGTGGAGTTGGAGAGATCTGCCTATAGTTTCAGTGGGAATCAGACTTTAGATTATAGAAGAAAGAAGCGCTGTTTACTTTTCGAACAATATTTTTGCAATGGCAGTGCTCATAAATTTCGCACTTTACACCTATTCTTAACATCCCTTTTACTTTTTCAATAGAGTCTGGATTGTGCAAAGAAACATGTTATCTCTACGTAATTTAAGAAATAAATGTCTTAATTTTTTTCCTTATTTTTAATATGTTTTCTGGATTATTTATTTTGTCGTGTTGGCATCATCCATAATTTGTGTTTTAAAATATTTTGTTTCAGATATTTCCCTGGCACCATGTCGCCCAAGGTCGTAATATTAGCGTTCGCAATTCTGGTGGCTATATTCCTCCATGGTCCGAGTGAAGCGATTCAACCCGTAAGTTTCTGCTAAAGACAGCAGTGTTCAGAAAGTCCATTCCATAAACTGCTTAAGTTGTAGCTAGATCAGGTACACGCTTGACTACAATCAAATTTTCTTAATTCCTCTGAAACCCTTCACTGTTAATTAAGTGACCTGCACTGTAACTGCGGTCATCCGAGTTAAAGACGTGTTGGAATAGCATGGTCTGCATACAATAATACATAAATTAATAATAATAATAATAATAATTTATTAGATAAAATTGCAATCCTAATGTTGAACTTGTACAAAGAATGTTTAAAAGAAAATTGACAATAAACTTTAAATAATAAAACAATGAATTATTCCTAAAATACTACAAATTAAAAAGGCACTCATAAATTAAAGTTAAAGAGGTAATAATTAATAAAGGAATTTTTAAAAACGTTCCTTCTTCACTTTTGGTTGTAAGAATTTGGTGTTGTTTCGTAAAGGGCGGGTGTTTCTTTCAGGCAATAAATGTACTTTGTCAGATAAAATGATTATTGTTCGATATAGCTCGGTTATGCCAGACATCAGTTAATGTTAGCTGCTACTGATTGGAAGATAGGAGTCGTGAGCTGGCCGTGCCTGAATACTTGTTTTTGTTTTTTAACACATTTATCTAAAGTAGCTGAAAATAAACTGATAATTACTATGGCATAAGGGGGGTTCTGCAAAAAACGCCGGGGGGATTTGGGGGTTGGATGGAAGAGTAGAATTGTTAATTGTACTTACCCGATCTGTTTGCTCGTATTATTGCTGTGGTTTTTTAGTTGATGCTGAACCTGTGCTCATGTAAAAAATGGCCAAGACTTCTTACTGGCTGTTCTGTTTACCAGATGGCATTTCCGATGGCCAGTGGTATGTCACGTGACTATTCCCGCGGGATAAGAGGGCTTGGTTAATTAGCCCTTACAACAATTATGCGGCCAGCTCAAGCTTCCTATTCCTCCCAATAAATTTATTATACAAACCATAATAATATTTTTCTGATACCATATCTACAAATTCATGAAGCTACTTTTACTGTAGCAAATGTCCATTTCGTGTCCAGGTGACAATACAGCCGTACCCTTTGTGTTACTGGATTTGTCAACCTAACCCTGTGGGTGACCCCCTGGTCTGTGACCGCTGCCACTACCAAGTGGGGACATGTGTGTCCTTCTACTACCCGAAATGCTATGTTACTGGACGAAACTGCGCCAAAAGCAACTGGTACGCCATCAAGTGCTGCCCTCATCACCACTGTTAGCTAGAAAGAAACCCACGTGTTCGAAATTCCATTAGAGGTCGCCACACAGTGGAGCTTTTTAAACTTTATCGTGCATTACATTGAATCTGGTATTGCGGACGACTGCTGATGCAGTGAAATATAATGATTTGAAAAAAAAAAAAACAAATGTTTGACAGATGTTTACAATGAAACAAAACAAATCTTGATTCATAAAATACTGACCCTGATGAAAATAAAATTCCCAATATTTCCTGGCATAGTTTCGCTTTGTTGTTGATGTTCACTGCTTGGTGATAACAAAGTGGCGACAGTATAGTTCTAATATTTACTCTGCTACGTGTTATAATTTTTATTTTGAGATCGTGCCGCAGACGGTTTATAGAAAGACGTCTTATCTAACAGCACACTCTCTACATCGCGTAAGAACTGCAGCAGGGATCTAAAATAGCTACGTCATTGCAGCTTCGATATGACGACCTAATAATGCTTGTATCTATATAAACCCGGTTTTATTATATATTATAGGTTTTATTGGTATGACTCAGAGTGACAAAAGATATAAATAGATCAATAAGATTAAGTATCATTACAAGATGGTATTATGATAATAATCACGTTACAGTACTTTTCCACTTGTATTTGTGTCACATTTATAATGGAAATAATCTGGTATGGCATACATGTTTAGATTAATCGAAACGCAATAAAATGACCTTCCTCTTTGACGAAGAAAACAAAACATCCGCTCGTGATTCAGTTGTGCCATGTAAAGAGTTCAAGTGTGTATCTCAGTCACGTTCACAGTTCCAAAATATCCTGTAGCTGCAGCTTGTAGCACGCGAGATGTAGGTGTAACGTCACAGGAACGGAAGCAACCGGGAGTGGCCGAATGGATAACAACCGTAGCCTACACAGTTTGATGTCCGAGGTCAAACAACATCCTCAATACAGCGGTGGAACTGCAGCTTATATAAAGTTTATGTTGACAGATCCCGTATCTCTAAAACCTACCGGGTCACCTTGTAATAGCATTGACACACGTACTCAGTGTTTACTTTAGCTGTGTATATAAACAGCCACATGCTAGGGGAGTAGATAATTTTACAACTGCTGTTGTTGCATCGTAAAAATTTGTAAGGTGAGTCAATTTCGCGTTTCTTTTCATTTCGCTGAACATTTCCTTTGAGCTTGTATTTTTTTACTATGAACAATGACTAAGAAGCAGGAAAGTTGTGTTTACTTTTCAAACTTTATTCTTTGCAGTTTCAGTGTTTATAAATTTCGCAGTTTAGACTTGTTCTTGACCTTTCTTCTCTTTTACTGTTTCACTTGAGTGTACGCGTTGTGCAAAGAATCATGTCATCTCTTGGTAATTTGAAACCTAAATTATACTTGTTGTTTCTCTATTTATATATTTTTGCTGCGTGATTTGAATCAGGTGCTCGAACTGAGCGTTGTCATCACGTTACAAATTGTCTTTTGAAATTTTATTTCAGATATTTCCCTATTTCCCCAATACCATGTCTTCCAGAGTTCTGATATTACTATCCGTAATTCTGATGGTCACATTCCACGTTGGCGCGAGTTCACTTGCGGTAAGTGTTTTGTTGAAAACACCAGCGTTCAGAATTTTAAAAGTATACTTCAGGTTTAGTTTTGTTAATCCACCTGTAACTTTTCAGCTAAGCCTACAACACGGTTAGTTTTGTGTTTAATTGAAATATCTCTTTATTTATAATAATTATAATGATAACAGTATTAATTTAGATTTGAGTTCATTACACATCCATGCAGTCACGGGCGTCCGCAGAAAACTTTCCAGGGGGGGGGGATCAAAGTCATTGAAGGGGGAGATAATGATTGGGTGGGTACCCGCAATCAACATGCCCGCAAAAATTCCAGGGGGGGGGGTCAAGTGACCCCATTGACCCCCTGCGGACGCCCATGCATGCAGTGCATCTGTCCCTGGTATCAACAAATTCTGTATATGCCTTTTTTTAAAGCATAACCATGAATCAATCAATCATCATCTCTAGACTTTTGATGAAGACATCCGTTGTGAGAACCAATGCAGTGAATGAAGAAAAAAAAGAAAGAATAATCTAGCCTTACCTATTTTATATACAGGTAGACAACGTACAGGCGGTGCCTCTATGCTACTGGATATGTCAGCCAGGCCCTGTTGGTGACCCCCTGGTCTGTGACCGCTGCGACTACCAAGTGGGGACATGTGTGTCCTTTGGCAGCCAAAAATGCTGGGTTGGTGGTCGGAACTGCGCCAAAAGTAACTGGTACGCCATCAAGTGCTGCCGTCACCACCATTGTTAAAATACCGTCAGAGGGCGCCACACAGTGGAACAGTAATATTGACTATGGAACTGTATGATTACTGTTCAGTCAGTATTAGTGGCAAATTAAGATTATAGAAAAGAGAGAAAACATTTTCAGTTGACATCTTCAAAGATACATGACGACACATGATGATCAATTATTGGTTCCCCTTAAAGATAATAAAATATTCAGTATCTTGTGGTATATAACGACATCTGTTTCGTTGTTGATATATATCGCCATGGTGATTTTACCTCACATAATTTAAGCGTCACCACTCACTCTGCTACATGTTTATTAGAATATCTACAGATCGAACCACGGAGGGTTTTTAGCATGATGTCATATGTAACAAGACACAAGCTTTAACGCGGAAGAACTGCAGCCGGGGACAAAAATATCTGCTCAGAACTTAGCTATGGAGAGCTAAGCATACGAGTCAAATTCTTTGTATTGAAATAACTGTTTTGACGTTTTCTCATTATCATAACATGCTACTTAGTCTGATTTTAACACGAGTGCTATGAAAAAATAAGGATAAAAATTTTGCGTATCAACATGGTATACTAATGTACTGGTGTGTAATTTGGGTACTTGTATTTGAAAACGTTATCACATGGAATAGCAGTTTATCAACTTTACATAAGCAAATCGTAAATATCGGGACTCAATTTTAAAATGAGAAAAACGTTATCGGTTTTGAGGGCACAACTTATGCTATCGATTTTCGAGGCACACTTGTATTATTTATGACGTTTAAACGTTTGAATGCCACCACGAAAATAAATGATATGGAGTTGAATTCGTCTATTTACTGGAATATATAATCCCCCACGAATTTTAGAAAAAAAAGCCTTTATCAAGCATCAAATGCATTTTAAGCATTTTTATCTTTTTTGTTTTTGTTAGTAAAGTATAGTTTAACTTGATTGACAACCACTAAAGCCGACAGCGTCTTTGCAAATATTAACATGTGACATTCTTGCACATAACCGTGACGCATTTATGTTACTGTAGTCCATTTAAAGTTGCGGACCGGGGGGGGGGGAGTGGCCATCTTCTTGACAGACCAAGATATAACTCACGTAACCATTATGCAATAAAATAATAATATTAAATGAATAGCTGTTGAAATAAGTTTTTTATTGATATCCAGCATGTTGGTAAATCTTGGTCAGTTAAGAAGATAGCCACGTTTCTGGCTCCCCCTGTCCGCATCCTTAAGAAAGCAACCATGTACCAGGTATTGAGCACCCGGCTTATTTACACTTTTCTTTTGGGCAAAGATATTCAAAACAGATAAATTCAAAACTATGCTAAACGCTCGTCTCAATGTTCAGTTTGTTTCTACGTGTACTTGTTGACTTTTTTTGCAAGCGTTTTAAAAGGAAATAAATCCCCTTTGTTTACTTGAAATTCAAATGATGTGCGTTTGTTAGACGACAATTGTAATTAACCTTTAGGGAAATATTAGTATTTGTTGGGTGTTTGAAGGAAGTTATCTCGTCTGCAGTTCAAGATCACATAAATATGCTAGCGGTTATGGCAGAATGGAATGCTAAAAAAGGGAGGGAAAAGTTAATCCGTGCATGTAACCAGAGTTACAATGCTGATTTACTTTAATAATTATTTATGAGTTACACAAATAGATAAATAGACTAGACTAATTACAATATAGTATTTCAATGATAATTGAGAAAGCAATTCAAATTAACATCTTATAAAACAAATTATAGCACTTTTTGGTCTGTAGGTTTGTCACGTTCAAAGAAGGAAATAATCTGTTGACATGAAGTTGATTGAAACGCAAATCAGTGACCCTGTTACCAGGCTAGGACACAAAACATCCGCCACTGTCTATGTGGTACCAGGTATAGGAAGGCATATTTCACGTATTAAATACAACAAATGTGGTTCCCTGTCACGTACACAGTTCCAGAGTATTCTCTATCGGTGAATTATTTACTAGCTGCAGCGTGTAGCACGCATGAGTCAGGTGTGACGTCACAGGTACGAAAACACCCGAAGGTAGCCGAGAGAATGTTACGCGTAGAGAATTCGACATCCGAGGCCGCACGGCACCCTCAATATAGAGGCGGAACTGCAGCCTGTATTAAGTAGACGTTGTTTATCCCGTATCCCCAGCATAAGAAGGGTCACCTTGAATTTTAATAATATTCAATCACGTACACAGTGTTTGCTAAAGCGTGTATATAAACGGACACGTGTAAAGAGCGCAGGCAATTTCATAACTGCTACCGTTGCTGTTGCATCGTTGATATTATAAAGGTGAGCTGATTTTGATTTCATTTCACTTGATTTTTTCCTTTTTGAGCATAGTTATTTTATAATTCTGATCAATGACATTAAAGCAGGGAAGCGTTGCTTAATTTTTAAACTAAATTCTTTGCAGTGGCAATTCCTTAGCTAACACGCGCGATTTACTTTTCATATACTTTTTACTGCTGAAAGTTTTGTCGAGGTGACCCGGATGAAGTGTCTGCATTACAATTAATTTTTTTCAATATTTGTTTCAGGTATTCCCCCTGGCGCGATGTCTCTCAGAGCCGTAACGTTAGTATTCGCCATTCTGGTGGCTATATTCGTCATCAGTGAAGCACAGGTAAGATTTTGCTCTCAAGATATCAGAGCATGTATAAAAGTAGCGTTTTGGTTTTAGCTGCAGCAGATAGACGCGCTTGAGTACAATGTTGTTTTGTTAATCCCCCTGTAACTGTTAATTTAAATTATTTCCATGGTAAGCGTAGGGACAAAAATAGATAATTCATGAAATCTCATCTTCTAACTGCAAATAATGTCTGCCAGATAATGTAGTATCTAAAAAACAGTTTGCATAATCAATAACTGATTTTAAATGCAAACAACTCTGGTTTTTCTTCAACCTCTAATTAATATTAGGCCTTTTACATTAGATATCCGAAGGGAGGAAGATTCCGATCACTCTATAATAATAATAATAATAATAATAATAATAATAATAATAATAATAATATAAGACTACCATTTTGTGTACAGGATGACTGCTATTGGATTTGTCAACCTCAACCTATCGGTGACCCCCTGGTCTGTGACCGCTGCCACTACCAAGTGGGGACATGTGTGTCCTTTGACACCCCTAAATGCTGGGTTACTGGACGTAATTGCTGGAGAAGCAACTGGTACGCCATCAAGTGCTGCCCTCATCACCACTGCTAAGAAAGACAAGTCACCCACTTGTGCGAAATTTCAGTTGAGAATGTCACATAGTGAGACTTTGTAACGCGTATTACACTAAAAAAAGTTGATTATTGTTTAGCCGGTTACAGCTGCAAATAAAGATGTTCGAAAAGAAAACCAAATGTTCTACAGACGTTTTCAATGAAAAACAACAAATTATGATCCGAAAATAAATGACCCTGATGATAACAGTATGTCCAATATTTTCTAATTCATGTATACATTGGCAGTCGCTTTGTTGATGTTTTTCAAGGTGTTGTTTCGCTATGTCATTTAATAACTCTGCTACACGTTACTTTAATATCATGTAGATAGTACCACAGGTGGTTCTAAGTACGAAGTCCTATATAGAAAGACCATATCCAAGTCTCGGAAGAAAGTAGCCGGGATCTGAATATGGCCATATACATTTAAAATTCTTTTCTCTTTATTTTAAATATATCTTAAATTCTCTTTATTTTAAATATATCTTTACTTAATCGATTAATTAATTAATTAATTACTTTATTTATTTATAGTACCACGTCCTACCACCTGTAAACTGTAACAGATTTTTTAATTTTTTTTTTTTTTTTTGCAAAACTCATGTCGGCGCTATTGCTTTTCCTATTCATACATTTTGCTTTTCCTATTCATACATTTTGTTGTTTTCTCTCCCCTCCCCCCCCCCTCCCACCATCTTGGGTCCCTGCTTGTCAAAACTGTTCAGGTTGTTATACAGTACCCGGGGCAACTCCACAGTCGACAAATGAAAGAGCAAAGACTACTCAAAACCAAAATCATCAGCTCTATTATAACGTCGCGGGTAAAGTCAAACGTTATCTCATTGAAAAACAAAGTGAAAATAAAATTATCTGAAATCATCTATCAAGGAAAGTTCCGAGCAGGCTCATCAATATAAGCGCCCGAATTTGAATTGATTTAGTAGCTTTCCTGGTATAGTACTACGTCATATCACCTGTAAATCGCGTTAAGAAGGAAAAATATTTTTCTTGGCGGACTTATTTGCAAAAAAATGTGTTTCTCGACATTTGCGTTGCCGCTGTTGCTTGAATGGAAAGCACACCAGCTTTTATACATTTGAATCTTTGATAATGAATTCTTCTTTTTAGCGGTTTGCTAAAACTGAAACCGCTCAGTCACAGCGCAGTAGGTAGCGTGCATGGATGCAAAATAAAAAAATTAAAAATGAAACAGTCTAAAATGTCATCAACCATGGTGACGAGAAGCCACCCTGAGTTCGAGTCCCGGGTGATGCACGTCAGCCAGACTCAACAACGACCAGGCCCCGAAATCGGGAAGTTACGGGAACGACTGAGGGCACTCGTGGGTCCGGACAATTTACCTTTTGCATAAAAAACATGTCATACTGCCCTTTCATTAAAAAGTGCTATATTTATTTATTATTATTTTTTGGCAAAATTCATGTCACCGCTATTGCTTTTCCCTTTCATACATTCAACGACTGCGGGTCATCATGCAGAACAGGCAGCTAGCATCTTAATCTAATCACACTGAGCTGTCGTCATCTACCCACAAGGTGCGTTTCCAAACTCTCGTTAACATACCGTGGCCAGCCACTTTTAACCATCTTATGCGATTCAGCTCTATCCATTAAAGCATCGCGTTAGCTGTAGCGAATTGTCATTTGACTCATGCATGTAAATTGTAATTTCAGACGGGGAGGGGGGGGGTGGGGGGGGGGGGGGGCGCGTCAGTTGATCAAAAAGTCAGGTAAATACCATGTAGAAAAGGGCAATTTTTGCCAAGATATTTTGGTTCAGTTACAGCATGCACTGGACTTTGACCTAGACAGGAACAGCGTCGGTTAGCGTGGTAAACCAAAATAAAAGAATAAATAATAATAATAATAATAATAATAATAATAATAATAAAATAAATAAATAAAATAATAATAATTTAGCACATGTAAAGCTTGGTTTAATAATAATAAATAAATAAATAAATAAATAAATAAATAAATAAATAAATAAATAAATAATTTAGCACATGTAAAGCTTGGTTTAATAATAAATAAATAAATAAATAAATAAATAATTTAGCACATGTAAAGCTTGGTTTACGCACGTACACTGTAGTATGCACAATGCTTGTACAGGGCTCCAATTCAAACTCTTCCGTACACAAATTTATGGTGGATGTTGAATAATTCACGTTTCACGAAGGTAAAGAGTGTCATGCATAAAACCTCAAAGGCCACACTGTTCTTGGCGTTGAATAGAAGTAGACGTGCTCAGTTTATATCTACGATAGAGAACTTCTCCTGCTTCAGTATGGGATATCAGATAAAGCTGCTGATGTTGCTGTTTTTGCTAGCAGGAATGAGTGAAAGGGTGAGGCGTTTTTTAAAATATACCTAAGTTTTCTCAATTCTCCTCTGCTTCTTTTTGTTATTCTTCTCTTCTTCACTCCTCCCGTCTTTCTCTTGGTCCTTCTCCTCTCCTTCTCTCTGTTCTCCCATCTCCTCTCATCTTTATGTCATGCCATCGTATTCTTTCTCAATAAATTAGATATTGGAAAAAGGCATTTGGCTGTTTAAGACGCTCTAAGGTACAGCTAATATAAACGCACACACACACATGCACACACGCTCAATTTCCCACATCAACTCGTATATAATCCTGTGAACATTCATTCGCCTTATTAAGTTTTTCGCCCGTTACTGTTTACGTGTCAGGCGGTGGCTCCTCCATATTGCTTTTGGATGTGCCAGAGCCAAGCAGAACTGGGTCAACCACTGGAGTGCCCCGCCCTGACGCGCGTGCAAGTCGGCATGTGCCTGTCACCTAACTCATCATGTGACGTCATAGGAGAGAACTGTGTCAAAGGAAACATATTTCTTGCCATCAAATGTTGCCCATAGTGACACTTGAGGGTGAGACGAGATGACAACTTAATTGACAACAGGAAAAAATCCAATGATATAACCTAAGGAAAAATCTTTGCTATAACGTGGACCTGATGGCTAAAATTTCAACAACAATATAAAGAAGAGAATGAAATTTGGAAAAAGAACATGGACCACGAAAAATCCGTCAAATAAAGCCATACCTGGAAAAATTACACAATAGAACTTTTGGACATATTTCAACCGATGTTCCTCTTCACAGAGATCTGACTATACATACTTTACATTTAATATAAAATGTATTTTTTTTTTCAATTCATTCACGGCTTGGTATTGAAATCAATAAGAAAATATTTTCCGTCTGTTATTGAAATGATTTATTGTTTTTACTTTCAAAATATTTCTTCATGTGGTTATATGTCTTGAAACGGGACAATACAAGTGTGCAAACTGTTTTATCACAGCTAACGACAGTAATTCTTAAATCAAAGAAATTGGCATTTAGGGAAAAAAGTTATTGTCTTAATACGATTGAAGTTTTGAATATGTTACATAAATACCACATGCCCAATTCACAACTAAATTATTTCATTGCCTCTGTTACTACAGGCCATATTTTGGCAATGTACATTTTTGTACACTGGTCCTGTGCACAGAAAATCTGCCACATTTCACGCATTTCACATTGATCAATTTGAAGCAAGGTGACAAAATGAATAGGCTGATCAATATAATAAAAATGCAAATGTTGGTTTGAATAAACCCTGGAACCCTTTATTTCACTTAGCTTAATCAAACGTATACATTACATGTGCGACAAGAATGGTAGTCCTAAAAATGAAATCCTTGTTTCCATATAGTAAGTAAAGGTAAGGGTTAGCCAGAAGTACCGGGGTCAGTAATATGGGATGAGTGTCATCTGTACAAGGTAAAGGGGAACGCTCTCCTTCTCCTGGCGTTAATTAGATTGTAGAAAAAACTGGTGATTAGAGCGAGTACATTGGAAACTTGAGGTGGTGTGTCAGTTTGTTAATCTGATTGCAGACAGGAAGAGTCCCCGCGGAGCTGAATCTAACTAAGATCAGATCATCTACACCGGTAGTTTTATTGGGAATGAACCCTTATAGTATTCAAACACGTAAATGTTGCGTTTATTTCACAAATAAACAGCCATTCGTTAGGAGCGTAGGTATTATATCACAACCGCCGTCGATGTCGTTGCTTTTGCATAATTGAAGCGTGCAAGATGAGTCTCAGCCACACCGTGAATTATCTTTTTTAAACAGTTTGTTGAAGATATTCCTCTTGGCGCAATGCCTCTCAAAGACGTAATATGCAATGCTGGTGGCGACATTAATATATGGTTTCGGTCCCAGCGCGAATGCCAGTGAGGTTAAGATTTTGGTGAAAACACCAGCATTGCGAAATCTCATTAGAGAATCCTTGAGATCTCATCTTTATGTCAAAATCTTCTGTCAGGTAACCTTTTTTCTATAGCACTATTAACATGATGAAAAATTTAATGTATGTCCGTCCACAAATATACACTACGCCTTTGACTTAAAATAGTCGCTGGAAAAGGAATATCATGAATTAATAATAACCTGGATGCTACTGGATTGGTCTACCTGATAAAGCCTTTGGCAGTTAGGCCTTTTTAAAAATATATCTTACTTTTTCTTTTTCTCTCTACTTTCTTATTATTCTCCCCTTCTTAACACTTCTCTTAGTCTTTCTCCTCTTCCTCTGTTCCTCCGTCTTATCCTTATGACACTTCACCATTTTCTTTCTCAATTAATTAGATATCAAGAGTGGGCTTTTGCTGTTTAAGGGTGCATTCCCAGAGATTTAGATCGATCCAGAGATATAGATTTAGATCAACCTAACTCCCTTTGGGTTCACGCTAAATTGCATTCAGCCAAGCGGGCACCATAGTTGATTACCCCTTTACAGCTTTTAATAGGCGGGACAGACGCTTAAGCCGGCTAAGCTGACGGTAATCTAGTGAGACTCCCCACAGGAAAAGATCGATCTAAAATCTATGGGAATGGCGTCTAAGAAGTTCTAAGGTACTGCTAACATAAACGCACGTCACATGCCAACATCATCTTGTATAAAATCCTGTGATCATTCATTCATTCAACTTATCATAGGGATAAAAGCGTCAGTATAGCAATAATTCTTTAAGAAAAAAAAATTAATTGTCAAAAAGATAGCAGTAGTGTTTTAATACCACCGTCAAGGAGGTTATGTCTTGCTTGTTTGTCTGTCTGTCTGTCATCAACATAACTCAAAAAGTTATGGACCGATTTTGATGATATTCTCAGGAACTGTCAGAAGTGGGCCAATGAACAGATGATTAGTTTTTGGTGGTGATCTGGATCAGTAATCAATCAATAATACAAAATATTGAAAATTTAAGGGTGAAATGGAATTGGATGGAGACTTCGCTGCCTTGGCGGAGGTCTGCGCTCTCTGAGTGCTTTTTTAGTTTTTAAAATATTTTTCTTGTCCTGGTAGGTTTATGTGTATTGAAAAGAAACAATACAGAAGTGATATCCATTTTATTATGAGATGTAAAGTTCTCCATCAGCCAAAACTACCAAACCAAATAATTTGCATTTGAACAAAGATTTTCACCAATATGATAAAAAGTTTAAACAAAACATCAAATTGCTTCTGTTTTGGCTTATTTTGACCACATAATACATCATCAACAAGAACAAGAACAACAAAATAACCAACAAACTCAACAAAATTTATAAAGTAAAATACTATTTGTAAGAGAATCATGGTAGAACACTTCAGTATTCTGTGCCAGAATCCTTTTAGTTCACTGGTCCTTTGCAACTCAAGGGTCTAAAGTATATGTTACATGAAGCATTTCAAATTGGAATATTTTAAATTTACTGTTTTCCACTATTAATTTAAAACACAACAAAACAACCAATGCACTTAAAATATTGTAGCCCAATATCCTACAACCCACCAAAATGTTTACCACAAAAACACCCACTATAAAGCTATGATTAACTTAACCCATGTGGTGCATGTAAGTTGCACTTACAGTGCATTCAGAACAGTGGACTAACAGATCTGCGGATCAAATATGGTGACCCGCTAAAAAACTTGCCGCTTAATTCCAGATATGACATTAAATAAACTCCACGCTGAGATTACGCAACAAGCATTCAAATGGGTTGGCCAAATTTGGTATGTAGATTTGTTAGTGTGCTGTTCTGAGTGAGCTCTAAGATACCAAATAAGCAACAGGCAATAATACTGATGTGTTATATATTTCAGAAGATTCATTTTGAATGAATGTGCTTACTGTTACACAGTCCACATAATTTTTTTAATCTTTTACAAAAAATCATAATAATAATTTAAAAAAATTAATTAATTAAATCAAATAAAAATAAAATATAAATAATAAAATAAACAAAATTTGAAATGCAGTTATTTGCAATATTCACTGTTACCTGCACACCTTACTAAGCATCCAAAATATACTGTGCTACTGTCATTTTGTTTTTGTCAATTGACCAAATTCTTGTTTATTTATACAAGAATTCTTGTTTATGGACTGAACTGTCACTTGAAGCTTTTACATATCATTTGCTAATGAAAGCAAAAAATCCAATGCTATTCTTAACCAAGTTATAACTGAAACCCCTTTCCTAATAGTTTGTCCTTCGCTAGCTGAAACAGTCCCACAAACAGTTCTGCTAGTTTGGGATCAGCTTGAAAGCGATGCTGTATTAATTTTTTTGGTGATGGATTGGAGACCTCCGACTGATTGTCGCTAACGCTTACAGAATCTCGATGTTGTGTCTGGGATGGGTAGCCATGAATGAACTCTGCAATCCTGTCTTGGGTGGTATGTGTAGCCTCCTGGTGTCAAAAATAAAAAAAATCAGAATATCAGAATCAGAGAGTTGCTCATGCAAGAATATCCCTCCAATAAAGGGTGGAAATGGGATGCTACAAACTAAAGTAAAATTACAACATTTTTAAATGCATTATATTATTTTACAGCAAAAAAAAAAAAAAAAAAAAAAAAAAAAAAAAAAACAACCAAAATAAAAAAAAAAACAATAAAATAAAAAAAAAAA